GCAGGCAGAACAAAGAATCAGTGAACTTGAATATATGGCAAGTGCGATTATGCAGTCTGAAGAACCCAAAAAATGGTGAAAAAAAATGAACAAAACCTCAGAAACCTGTGGGACACCATCGAGCTTGCCAACAGATGCATTACAGGAGTTCTAGAAGGAAAGGAGAGGGGGGAAAGGACATAAAGAATACTTAAGGAAATAGTGACCAAAATCTCCCCATATTTGATGAAAGCCAACCAAGATGCTTCAGAAACTCCAAGTAGGATAAACTCAAAGACACGTACAGCTAGACACATCAAAATCAAATTGTTTAAAGCCAAACAATTAAGAATTTTGAAAGCAGAAAAACAGAAGAAATTCTTCACATACAAAAGAGCCTCAATAAGATTAACAGCCAATTTCTCAACAGAAACAATGGAGGCTAGAAACTAGGAATGGTATATTTAAAGTTGCAAAAGGGAAAAAACCCTGTCAACCAGAAGTTCAATATCTGATAAAACTATCCTTCAAAACTGAAGGATAAATCAACATTTTCATGTAAACAAAACTGAGACGGATTTTTCCTACAAGAAATATTGGTGAGGTGAAAAGACTCTGGATAGTAACTTGAATCAACATGAAGAAAAAAAGAGCACTGGTAAAAGTAATTATGTAATTATATACAGAAAATGGTATGAATGTATTTTTTGTTTATAACTCCTTTTAAAATCTGATTTAAAAGAGAACTGCATAAATCAAAAACAATAAATTTATATTGATGGGAACAAAATGTATAAAGATATAATTTGTGACAGTAACAACATACAGGAGGAGGGAATGGAACTATAGAGGAACAAAGTTTTGTGTAATATTGAAATTAATTTGGTATTAATGCAAACTAGATTGCTCTAAATTGAGATATTAATGGTTACTTACAGGGCAGTCACCAAGAAAATAAGTTAAAATATATATAGTGAATGAAATGATAATTAAAATAGTACACTAGAAATTAACTATTTAACACAAAAGAAAGCAGTAATGGAGAAACGGAGGAACAAAAAGAATATAAAATATAGAAAAGAAATAGCAAAATGGTAGACACTAAATCTTACTTTACCTATTATATTAAATGTAAACATAGCAAACTCTCCAGTTAAAGGGCAGAGATTGGAAGAATAGATTAAAAAAAAAAAAACATGATCAAGGGGCATCTGGGTGGCTCAGTTGGTTGAACAGCTGGCTCTTCATTTTGGCTCAGGTCATGATCCCAGGATCATGGGATCGAGCCCCGTGTGTCCCTCTCTTCCTCTGCTTCTCTCCCCCAGTGCATGTGCTCTCTCCCTTTCTAAAATAAAAAACAAAAACAAAAACAATCCCCCCCCCAAACCACAATCCAACTATATGCTGTCTACAAGAGATTTAATTTAGATTTAAAAGCGTAGTCAGAAAATGAGAGCTGGTATGTCTATACTAATATCAGACAAAATAGACTTTAAGTCAAAAATTGTTACTAAAGGCAAGAAGGACACCTTATAATGACAAAGGTCAAGTCAAAAAGAAGATGTAACAATTATAAACATACAGGAACCTAGAAATAGGTTGAAGCAAACTGTGTTAGGAGAAGGCAGTCCTATCCTAAATCTTTGACCCCCATATCCACTAGGAATTTATTCCCTTGAGCTAAAGCTTTGCCTCTTTTATAGTTTTTTTGTTAAAAAAAAAATATATATATATATAGCCCTTAAACCATCAATTGCATTAATACTTTAGCTGAAATTGGTTTAAGATCCTTTAGAGCATTGACTGCTAGTGGCAGAGATAAAAGGTTGAGCTATTTTTGATGGAACATGCAGGTATGGCCTTGAGTGGGCCCCAGGTGGGGAGAGTAGGGAAAAGGGGAGTCCAAGATTGGGTGGAAGTATTAAGAACAGAGGAAAAGTACAGGATGCGGAGAGGTGGAAAAAAGCTAGTGCATCATAGAGGATAGTGTACCAAAGAGACTGTCAGGAAAGAAAAATGCTAAATAAGCAGCAAAATAACTGGGGCTTTGGTTTGGTGCTGCGGCTCTTGGTTTGGCAACTTGGGGCTGAGGGCAGCAGCAGATGCCAGAAGCAGCACAAGGCGTCAGAACAGGGGAGAAAATGTGGCGCCGAGGATTGTGATGAGCACAGATCATTCTTAGATAAACATCCTGGCACCAGGTCTGAGCTGCTGTCTGAATCCTGGAGAACCATAGGCAGGGAAGCAGAGCGGACCGTGGGCTAAAACCAGACCACGGACACTGGTAAGATATGGGTGCTGATTGCAAAGCCAGGAAACCCACAGGAACAAAGGAGAGCAGGGCCAAGAGGCAATGCGGCAAACAAGCTCATAAGCCAGGCGAATGAGCTGGGCAATTGGAGGTAGTATTTGTGAAAGCACCCACTTATGGGTAGATGCTTAGTGTTAGCTGGTTCTAAATCTGAAATGAGGGCAAGGCTAATGGTGGTCTGGGCAGTGGTCTGGGAAGTGACTCAGTGTTGACAACAATAATGGCCCATACTTGTTAGTGCCTGTTATGTGCTGGGCACTGTGCTAAGCATTTCACATTCATTGCCTCATTTAATACTTAAAATGTCCGTAGGAGGTAGACATTGAAACCTCTAACCTACAGCTAAACATGAAACCTGTTCAGGAGACTTCCTCAAGACCATTATAGCAATGTAAATGGGATGGAGCCAGAGGTTTCCCTGACAGCACTCTGCCAGGCCCTGGGACAGGCTCACAGCCACTGGGGTGGCTTTGCCTCCAGGATGACTTAAAAGGAATGGGGAGAAGGGGGAAGGTCCGGTCTGGGAACACAGACATGGAACATCTCAGAGTCTCTCTAAGGTCCCATCCCACATACTTGTCTCAAGTGGAACTGGAAAAAGAAGCAACAAGGCCTAAAGACCCTTCCTCCTCTCTTCTCTCTGCCTGGACCCTAAGGGTTTGTGGGGATTTACCTCACGTGCTGGAGGGTAGAGCACAAGGATCACTCCACCCTGCTCTAATCCCTAAATGCACTTTTCCAGAATGGAAAAATGTGGCCCCAAACCAGGAACTAGGTCTAGGGGATAAAGGCATCTGTGGGCTTGGGGAACTCCAGGTATAGCCTGCCTGCCCCATAAATTCCAATTGCCATTGTTTCTGCTTTTTTGTTTTCAGAAGCAGGAGAGTTGGTTTGCTTTCTTTATGGCCATCCCTACCCTCTGTCTGCATGCCCCCCCGCCCCATAATACATAATCACACAGCAACACACACCCACACAGATATTGGAGGGTCACTTCTGGGTGATCCCCTGCATCTCACTAGTGAGACCATGACAAGTGCCTTCTCTTAGAGAAAGGAGTTTCCTGTGAGTTCCCTTCAAATCTGGACTAGGGGCCGGAGCCAGCCTAAGTCGGAAAATGAAGGTGTCATCATAAGCACTCTGAGGGGGAGGAGCCAGAAGCGTCAAATAGCTTCTCATTTTACTGATGAGAAGGGGGCCAAGGCAGGGAGTTGACTTGCCCAAGGCCATGGGACATCTCCTGGTACTAGGTGCTGGCTTTTTTCTGCATCCTCCATGGGCTCCCTGGTGCCTCCAAGCACTAAATGGGGGAGAGAAAAGTCTGCAAAAAGGAGGCAGGCACTTGCCTCATGACCCACGGGGCTCTGATGCTTTTAGGAGTTTGGGGAGGAGGCTACAGGGAACTCTGACCAAAGGATTCTCTTCTGCCTCGCTGGCTGTACACAGTTGTGTTGAATCTTCTTGGAGGCCTATGGATACTTTCTGCTCCCCTCCCTTCTTACACATCCTGCTTGGGTGTGGATACCACTCACTTCCCTGTGGGGCTGGGCCTGCAACCCTAGAGTGGTAATAGGCAGTGATTATGATCTTTTCATCCAAGCTCCCCACCCAGGCCAAGAAAGCCCTTACCAGCACCCCCCCACCCCCACCCCAATGATGCTGGAGCACTGCTGGGGCTGGGAACACACCACTACCCAGACAAGGGAACCACACATGGGCCCAGTTCATTCCCCTTAATGTAAGTGCCCTGTGCTGGTAGAGTTACAGGGATGCTGAGTCCTATATCTATACTCTGCTTACTTCTCAAGCACCAGCTATATAATCAACCCCACAGCCACACTTCCTTTTTTTAAATACAGTCCTCTGAAAAATAAAATAAAATGAAGTCAGTAACTGTGGACCTGGTGCTGGGCCTCACTGCCTGCATGTCAATCTACCCCATTAATCATCATGTGTAATTTTTTGACGAGCTATTTTGAGAAACATTGGAAAATGGTTTTCACAGAGCTATGTATACCTTATTTATACTCCAGAAATGGTCGCTCTGTTTAGCAGCAGATGGGTTTTTCCCCCTAGTTTTCTTTTCATCTCTCAGTGAAAGTTAAGTAGGAAGTAAGCCCTCTCCCTAAGCCTGGGCACATGTTTATCACCCGCAGTCCACCTGGGAGTCAGGGTCGTGGGTGGCTGGTTGAGAGGAAAGGCTGTGGGTTTCTTGTAAGGCACTGTTCCAGAGACCCCCAAGGGGACAAATACAGTAGACATGCTGGCTGCTCAGAGGCAGGGTTCCGCAGCCTGGCAGAGAGCAGGGTCCCTGGAGGAGGAGTGTCGAATAGAAGCCACTGGATGCACTGGCTTGCTTTTCTCAACACCGTGTGGGCACCTCAAGGTCCGTGAAGCATAGGTCAAGAGCATCCCATTGATGTCCCGAGAAGCCAAAGGAAGACCAACCATCTTGGCCCTGCCCAAGTGCTGTATCTTTGGCCTACAGGAAGCAGCAAGTCTGCCCTGCACAGTTGCCATGGCAACCACAGTGCTGCAGCTCCGAAGGGCAAGGGGAGCAGAAGGGAGGTGGTGAAGGCATGTGGTGATTTTTCTGGAAGAGCCCATCTGTTTCTTTTCCCCACAAAACCAAGCTGGGGGGGAAATGGGCATCTGGGGTTTAGAGAGAGAAGAGAGAGATTTCAAAGTGCTCCAAGAGCAGCTTTCCTGACTAGATGTGCTTCCCTTCCTGTTGGTGGAGGCAAGTCACAGACAATGACAAAGGTTTGGGCAGGTTAAGGTGCAGGCATCCAAGTGGGAGCCCCTGTGCAGGATTCAGGGTGGGTCCCATGACCCCAGGCGTGGGGGTGGAACAGTCCTAGGAGGACTCCTATCAGCCACAACAGGATTTCTTTTTGGCGGGGCGGTCAACCTGTATGGTGTCCTTCCTCGCTGTATCTTCTTGTTTCTTGAGGATCCTGGGAGAGGGGAAGGTATAGTGTCAATAAAGGAGAGCTGCTAGGCTGTTGGGTTATATCCAGCTCATCCGGGTGATGAGGAGGGAACCCAGCCTCACCAGAGCATCAGGGTTTTCAAAGTCTCCCCCTGGGAAGTACGGGTACATAACCATAATTTGTAAAGACAAAGTTTAGCCAATATGGATCCTTCATGACACCTCTTCCAAGAAGCCTCCCCAGATTCTCCAGGTGGTTTAAGTGCCCCTGACAGCATTCTGACCATTCCTCTGTAAAAACCCCCTTACCCCATGTCATAATGCACTGCTTCCTTGATTGGCTCCCTCAGGTGAGAAAGCTGCTTGAAAGCAGAGACTGTATATTTTGTCTCGGGTCTCTGTAGCCTATCATAGTACCTGACACACAGTAGAGCCTTAAAAGAATATACTTTTTGGTTATTAACTCTATAGAAAGTCTGTCCCATGTTGCCACAGTTCCAGATTAAATGTAGGAAGTGAAGAATTAAAAATAGTGGTAAGGATCCTATCCCTGCTTTTATACTCTCAATGTGCTTTCACCCTAAGCACCCCTTTTGATTTTACAACAGCCTGAGGAGGCAGAGAGGGTATAATTGATGTTACTGTGCTGGGGGCAAATCTTGGAGAGGTACACTGACTTTACCCCCAGGAATTGATGGCAGAGAAAAGCCTAGAACTTTCCCCCTGATCTTCTATAACTCCACAACCTCTCCAATGCATAGAAAATGTTCTGGGGTTCTTAATTACTCTAATGAAAGTATTTTTTAAATTCCCCAGAATGAGTGCTGAACCCCAAATGGGCACTATTAAATATTTGTTGGATGGATGGATGGATGGATGGATGGATGGATGGACGGATGTATTGGTGAGTTGATGGATACATGCAGAGATGGATAAATGGATGGGTGTATGGGTGGATAGACTGGAAGAATAGGTGGATTGATGGATGGATGGATGGATGGACGGATGAATGGATGGATGGATAGGTGCCTGGGTGAATAGGTGGGTGGATAGATGGAATGAAATGAATGCCAAGATGGATAAATGAGTGAATGTCCAAGTACTGAAAATGGGGGCCTGTGTGTGTGTTTTTTTCTTTTTTTTTAATTTTGGTATAGGCGGAGGCTTATGAAAGCAGTCTTTTGGTAGAACTAGCCCTTTGAGAGCTGTCACCTTAGATGCCTCTGGTCCCCCCAAATAGCCCCTCCTCTCCCTGGCTCTCCTCACCCTCCCCCAAGCTCATATTATAACTGTTTTTGTTCCCTGCTGGCTGCCAACTAATCCCTGCTAAGATATTAGCCAGTGTTCAGGGACCTATGATATGACCTTTCCCAGAAGCATTTGCATTTAAAAAGAGGATCCCTGGGAAAAGGGCAGCTTTTAAGACCCAGAAGAAGAAGACTACAGTGGGGGCAAGGAGCAAGGGGGCTTTCTTTTTTGTCCCTATTGTGTTTTAGAGGGCTGTCTCTGAAACCCACAGGAAGGCCTAGGCCTCCAGCCCCTTTGCCCGAGAAGGCTCAGGCAGACAGAGGAATGGTCCTCGAAGAGGTGAATGCAGTGCCCCCCACCAGACCCATGTGTTGGGATGTGCCTCCTTACCTGGCTAGATGGAGCAGGGACTCTTTGGTGTTGTGACCAGAATAGGCACTGCATTCATAGAAGATCAGATTGTTCTCCTAGAATTGTGAAACAGAGGGGACAAAAAGAGAGTATCGGTAGAGCTCGTGGGACCCATGGAAGGAGAACACCCCCTCTGCATCGGCCCGCATGCCTCACTCCCTCTCACAGTCCCCTTTAATTCCTCTCCCCTCCCGCTCTGCTCCAGGTTGATTTCAGTCTCCTCAGGCTCCCTGCCTGATGCAAGCTCTGTATCCATCTCCCAGGTGAGCTATAACAATTGTAAAACACAAAACGGTAGGCTGCCTTAGTGCTTCACGCTTTCACAAATCGCTCTCCAGTATGTAGATGCCCAATTCCTTTTCACACCAGCCTGTGGTGCAGACAGAGGTGCAGAGGCCAGGATGGGCCACGTTCCCCACACTGCGCAGGCAGGAAAACCGAGCGCAGAGTATAAAGGGTGGGTCAGTTCATTCAATGACTTATTGAGTTAATGGCAGGACTCCCAGCCACTTGCTTTTCCCAGGACACCAGCATTCCGTGAACTTTGGGGCAGATGTCACTGAGGCACACCAGTAGGAATTCTCCTTCACACCAGTTAATTACTATTCAGCTGCCTCGGCTGTCAGCATTGATCTCACAGGACAGTTGTCCATCACTTCAGGATGCAGAGGCCGTGCTGCCTGCGTGGTGGAGGCTCTTGGCCAAGCCTCATCATTATATCCATTTGTCACTCCTCTATTAGTAGATTTCCTGCTTCCTCAGGACAGTGCTATTGGCATGAAAGCCCGGAGGCTGAGGCCCTATGGGGATGCAGGCACTGAGTGAGGACACTTCTGTGGCTTGCAGAGCAGGAGGCTCTAGACACTGGCTCCCAGTTCAGCTTTCCTGGTTCACAGCCCAGAGGCCCAGATCCATCCCCCGTCCACACTTTCGCCACAGCTGGACTCTGGGTCGGTCTTTGGAAGAACGAAGGCTCCATGGTGGGAAGAGGGAGAGTACACAGGGTCTAGAATTGGAAGACATGACCGGCCTTCCAGCTTCAAGTCATGACTCCATCCCTGAGGACCCGTGCCATCACTTGAATTAATCACTTCACTTCTCTGAGCCTTGTTTGTTTGTATGTTTGTTTTTTATCCGACCAAAAAAAGGCGGGGGGAGGGGGGAGATGGGATGATAAAAATACAGGCCTGCAGTTCATTAATCAAACTCTTGGATCCAGATGTACTTTGGAATCCAGAGACTCTGAGTTTCAGAAAAATAACAGATGTATGTTCGTATATTATATTACCCTCAGTGGGTCTGGGACAGCACTCTATAATCAAATATATTAATACTTCTTGAAACATTTGAAAATTCATCCAAGTGAGGTAAACAAAAAGACCACAAATAACTTCATGCCAGTCCTGGTCAGGTTCTTCTGTCAGACGAAACAGTAGAAACCTTTCTGGTTCAGCACTGTGAGCATTGTGGGTAAGGGATGCAGCGGTGCGGCTACCCGGGCCCTCCCCAGGGACACCTGCCAGACCCTTCTTGCTCTTGTTCTACTTGACTCTTACCATCTGTGCCCATTTTCCTGACCTCTGGGGTCACAAGTTCCTGTTTATTTACTTATTTATTATAATTTTTAAATGTTTACTTCTTGGGGCGCCTGGGTGGCTCAGTCAGTTAAGCATCTGACTTCAGCTCAGGTCATGATCTCATGGTTCATGGGTTTGAGCCCCGCATTGGGTTCTGCGCTGACAGCCAGCTCAGAGCCTGGAGCCTGTCTTCAGATTCTGTGTCTCCCTCTCTCTCTGACCCTCCTCTGCTCATGCTGTCTCTCTCTCTCTCTCAGAAATAAATAAATCATTTTTTTAAAAAAAGTTTATTTCTTTATTTTGAGAGAGAGAGAGAGAGTATATACAAGCAAGAGATGGGCAGAGAGAGAAAGAGTGGGAGAGAGAGAACCCCAAGCAGGCTTCCTGCTGTCAGTGCAGAGCCCGATGTGGGGCTCAAACTCATGACCGTAAGATCATGACCTGAGTCAAAAACAAGAGTCAGACGTTTTACTGACTGAGTCACCCAGGCGCCCCTATTATTATTTTTTTTAATTTGAAAGAAAGAGAGAGTGTATGAGTGGGGAAGGGGCAGAGGGAGAAAGAGAAAGAACCTCAAGCTGACTCCATGGTCAGCACGGAGCCCAATGTGGAGCTCAATCCCACGACCCTGGGATCATGACCTGAGCTGAAATCAGGATGGATGCTTAACCTACTGAGCCACCAGGCATCCCATGCATGAGTCCCTGTTTAGAGCAAGTACACTATGAGGTATGGAATCTGAGGACTGGAAAGCACCTCCATTTTCCCAGACATACCAGTTCTTGAAAAGCACTCTGAGGCAGTAGAAACAGCCAAGGAATGCACACTGATTTCCATCAGCCAAGGAGTGCCTGATTTCCATCAAGCCTTATCGGCCCCAAGCTTGGGCAACAGGGCTGATGTTTATTTTAATGGTAAGTTTTTGAAGGCACGCCCTGAGTTTATCTTGGGTTCATAGTTTTTGGGCTCCCTATTGATCAGAATGGATAAACTCTTGAACAGTGCTGTTCAAAGAAGAACAGTCTGCCTTACAGAGAGTGAGTGTCTCATCCCTGAAGGTGATCAAGTGCAAACACAGAGGAAGGGAATCCAAGGATCAGACAGGGGATTTAAAGAGGTGCCTGGATAGTTCAGTCAGTTAAGTGTCTGACCTCAGCTCAGGTCATGATCTCATGGCTCGTAAGTCATGCTCCACATCAGGCTCTTTGCTGACAGCTTAGAGCCTGGAGCCTGCTTCAGATTCTGTGTTCTCCCTCTCTCTCGGCCCCACCCCAGCGCATGCTCTATCTATCTCTGTCTCTCAAAAATAAACAAACACTAAAATATATATGTATATAAAAAAGAAGTAACCTCTTGCTGTCTAAGAATCTATCATTCTAAGTTCCAAGGAAGAGAGTTTGGGAGAATTCCCCATACCCTAGTCATCCCTAGCCAGCTCTATCTTGCAATGTGTGAGTTTCTACAGAAAGTTCCACATGCATGGGCATCCACATGCCATTCCCATGATACCAGGACACCCATCTTGCCCACTTGCCTCCCTCCCAGGGGGCTTTCAAGGAAGGCTCCCACCAAGGCTCTGGGGCACCTGCCTGACTGCCCTCAGGGTTGCACCCCATCCAGAGAGATGGAACGATTCACTCTTTACCTTGGCAAGCTTCTCCCCAAGGCCTTGGGGAACTTCCCGCTCTTTCTCATTGTCAATTTTATTGGCCAACAGAAGAACAGGAATGCGGTCTCCCACGGCTTCCTGCAAAACAGATAATCCCCCAACTGAGAGAAGCAACCAGAAGGAAAACCCAGAAGGGCAGGCTTAAAATGCTGGCGGTAACAATACAATCTGGCTTGCGAATGCCCTGCTGCCACAGCAGGCCGGGCAATAATAGAGTCACATCCCCAAAGCTGAGAGTTTCAGTTTCTGAGGCTTCTGAGAGGTATCTGAAGCCTCCCTCCCTTCCCACTCATCCTTGCTGGATGGGCCGTGCAGGTGCCCCAGCTGTGTGTGGGTAGCAGCATGAGGGGACAGAAGACATCCATGAACTATGTGTCATTTTCTAGCACTCACAGTTCCCCAAAACCATTTCTAAGTGACTGGGACTTCATCTAAATGAACAAGAACGAACCAAAGGAATTAATGCAGTGTGGCTTGGAGCATTTCTAGGGACTGCTTTGATTAGAAGTGGCATCTCTAGGGGACTCATATTGGGCACATAGGCTCCCGGAGGGTTGGGGCCACAGTGCCCATAAAAGGATTGTTTGCGCCTAACTGGAGGTCCCTACATTAGGCAATAAGGATAGTTCGCTATTATCGGGTGCTCTGGCTCTGACCAAAGGCCTGTATGGGAAAGAAGTGTGTGGCCACAGAAGCTGCACTTCTTGGGCCAGATCAGGTTTGTTCAAGGAGTCAGCCTTCTTTACTCCTCCAGTGACTGAAGCATATCCCGCCAGGGGCCCACACCCTTGGGTCTCTGCACCCCGGGGCTTCCTCCCTTGTGAAATGCATGTACTTCGTGTGCCCCTCAGGAGGGCAAGCCAAGGGCCCTGGACGCACAGCTAGTAAGTGAGTAAATATGGTAATATTCGCATTTAAGCAGGCTGTGATTTTTACTTCGTGAGATATTTAATTAGGGGCTTTTAATAATAATTTGGTAAGCAATAGTTATTCATCGCAGTGAAAGGTTTTACTAAATAGAGAGGGTTAGGGGATAGCAGAAGCTAATAAGCACGTACAGTATTGCCAATGGCTCAGCCACTTTATTTCACCATTTCAAAGAAATGTCCAAAGTCCATCCAATAGGTACATGTATTTTAAGTTTGAATGCCATTATATTTGAAATTAAGCCTCAATGGTTCCTTCATCTACACATTCGTTTTTATCGCAGTTCGGTAGTGAACAAAAATTCTCGTTTACTAAATGAGAACGATAAGGCTCAGAGAATCCCAAAGAACATTCAATAACAAAGTCACTGAGTTATGAGGACCCTTTAGTATATGGGTCCACAATTTTCTAATGTTTTTCTCTAAATTCTGATTTCCAGTGAACTCTCTGCTATTTAGTGTCTTATTAACTAGAACTCTCTAAAAGTGGTATTTCCACTTATCCTCGGTAAGACGGTAATTAACATTGGTACTGATGACTCAAAGGCGCTACATGATCTTTACAGTGTCTTCTGATCCATCAAAAATAGATTAAATTATGTGCACTGTAACTGACATGCTAAGCGCACTGCGCCACGTTTCAATAGTTTGCACATGAGAAACCACTTACAGCATACAGACAATGCTGTGGCTCCCTATTACCAGAGTGCTGGGTAATGGGAATACCCCCATATTCTAACTGTGTTGTGCCACAGAAACTTGTGTGAAGACTTTTTCACAGAAAAGGAAAAAAAAAAAGAGGAGGAAGCAGGGAAATGGGCCAAAAGGCTTGCTGTTTGGAGCACATGAGAGATATTTGTAGATTTATGTGTGAGGAATGACTAAGCCTTGTGGGATTTCTTGACATGGAAACGCTGAAAATATGAGCATCAGACTTGAAATCCCAAGGCAGAATTCGAACCCGGATTCTGGTATGTTGGAATGGGTGATGGCTTCAGTTTCTTCACTTGTAAAGGGGACAGTGGGTATTGAATGACTAAATAGGATCAGATAGGGGATAGTCACAAGCCCCAAATCGGAGCCCTATGTACCACAAACAGCAGGGCTGCCTCTGGGGGGAAGGGAGAGCAGTCTTTTTATTTCAAAGCAATTTCTGGGTATAAAAAATAAAACATCTTAGAAGGAGTAGAAAAAAGCCAAGCCCCCAGATGGAGCTGTGTCTTCTGTACTTTGCATTGTTCCTCTCTTACACCAACACTCTGGACACCTCGTTTCTCCTCCATGGACCCTGGGTTGCCACTGATAAAGAATCAGGCCTATCTCCAGAGTCATGGCAAAAACGAGTGAGAACACACAGGAGGCTGGAAAGGTGCTATCCACCATGGGCGGCCAGCCATCATCACCCCAGCCCAAGACTAGTCTCTGACAGACACAGGCCAAGGGGAGGGTGGGGGCTGGGGATGGTGTTTCATGGTCCCCTCTGACTTTAGTTGCAAGTCTTGAGCTAGCTGCTCAAACCTGACACCTTTCACATACCCAACTAGTTGTTCAGCCTAGATACTGCTTTGCACAAAGAGGCTCATCATTACCTATCAGATGAAGCAATACTTCCTTTCAAAAGTTGAAAGCACGCCTCCTTTGGCAAACACGTCTAAGGCCCACCTGATTTCTGTTGACATTTCTACAGATTCTGGTAGAACTCCATAGGCATGGCAGGCCAGAGGGAAGGAATCGAAGGTCCTTAGCTGGGCACACAGTCTCCGTGTGTGTGGGAGCCGTCGGAATCACCACTTTTCAGAGAGTCTAGTCTGTGAGCTATGAAATGGATCCAGAAAGCTGGTTCCTATCCTCTGACACTCTGACACAGAAGCCTCTCCATATCTTCAACCATTTTAGTTGCCTTTCTTTGAACTTGAACTTGTCGGAAGACAGACGTGTTGAAATTCAAAAGATTACCCACCTCTGACTTTAAATAACATGAGCTGTCAGCTTGCAGCAGAGGACTGGCGTTCAGCTCAGAACGTGCAGCTGCTGAGTTTGGTTGGTTGTAGTGTGTGTGTGTGTGTGTGTGTGTGTGTGTGTGAATACCCATTTGCTGGGAGGCAAGAAAAAGCACTTAGCCAGGATAGTGCTGCTATTTCTCTGGAGAGAACAAAAAATTTCTCAGCACATTAAAGCATGTAGTTATGCTAAGAAAAAAATGACTGCAAAATTATATCTTGGGGGTTTCCATATTTATCCACCCCCTGGACTATGAGTCAAAACAAGATTTATTTGTGTAGTTCGTTTTAAACTGCCAGCACTTCAAGCTCAACTTGGAACATGGGGGGAAAAATCAAACTGCTATTTTTTGCTCTGTGCTGTACATTGTCACCAATGACCAAGATCACAGAATGAGAATTAGCCGGTGGTCCACGAAGGGAGAGGAGAGTGAGCCTGGCCCCTTTAAGCCTAAAGGACTGTTCTACTTCGGGGCGGAAGTGGGAAGGACTGAAAAAAGAAACGAACACCTATTTTTCAGAAGCAGATTTCAACCATGTGATGCTCTTGTCACATAACGCATAATGCGGCACAATGCAGTGGCAAAGGCCTAGATCCCAGTTCTGGCTGGGCGTCTGGCAAGCTGTGTGTACTTTTGGACAAGTCACTTCCTCTCTTTGGATTGCAGGACTTTTTATCTATAAAACAAGAGCCTGCATTAGATTAATCTCCAAGTTTTTTTTTTCCCCTCGGCTCAGAGACACAGCTCTTGTTGGCTTAATGACCCCAGTCATTTTCCACTTCCTTGACTTGTAGGCCTAACCAGAGGGCTATCAGAGTGACAAAAGATGGGGACAAGAAGTTCAACATGCCAGGGCTGCAGACATTGGGGACCAACGAACTGGAACTGGGGAAAACCCTGGCCCATTGAGGCTTTTACCGAATCCTGCTTTCCCTCTCTGATACAGGCCCCAAAGTCTCCAGGTGTCCCCCAGTCTGTCCCATGGTCTAACCATGGGACCCTTAGAGCCCAACCAGTTTCTTCTCTAGATTAGACTGGTTGAACCAGTCCTCCCAAGCAGAGGCGAGAAGAGGTGGGCGGACGGTTTGGAATACTGACTTGGCAAGAATGGCTACGTGCTTTGATTCGCTATCACGTACGCGGGAAATGCAAAATAGGAGAACCACACAGTGTTAGGCCTCTTATGCAGAAGGCCTGCAGCCAAGGTAAAGCTGCCTGGGCTTGGGGGGTGAAAACTAGGGTGGGTGGCAGAGAACAGTCATGGGGCAGGGCTCTCCCACCTCATAAGGCAGGGTGCGCTTTCATTCTCTTGCACCAAAGGATTTGGGTCCCCTCCGGGCTGGATGGATCCTCTCATCTGTGTGTACTCGTGCTTCATCCTGGGCTCCTCCCCACACAGAGGATCACAATGCTGTAGCCTGTCAGAATGTGGGGGCCAGGAGGGGCCCTTCAGAGCCTCTGGTCCATTTTGTCTTTGGGTGATTGGCCAGTTTCGTGGCCAGGAAGTGCCAAGCGGGGATGGCGAGAACTTCCTTTTCAGGGAACTCCATACCTCCCCCAAGCATCTGTTCCCACCCCACACAACCTCTTCCAACAGTGAGTCTTTGCCACGTGTATCTGTGGCAATTTAAGCCCTCTCTCTTTACACTGCTTTTCAGGTTGCGGGAGGAAGGGGCACTGAGAGCAGCTGGCCGGCATTCACTTAATAACAAGGCTTCAGAACCCGAAGCCTGTTATTAAAGCTCCCCCTCCACCCTCCGTTCTCCAGGCGAGGGAGTTGGCAAAGTGCTTGGAGCTCTGTGGAAAAATAAGGTACTCCACAAATATAAAGTTCTTATTATTTTTGGTTCCCTCTGATCAAATTAGGTGTCAGGTTTTAATCTGTCGCCTGACACCCCTGATTGCTGGTTGCCAAGGCAGAATGACTTAGCTTTTCAAGACTCTTGAGAATAATTGCATCCATGATCCCACTGTTCCACGCTTTCAACACAGTACTCCACCATCTGACACTTGTTCAGATGTTCACACCACTGCCTCCTGCACTTGTTCTCGAAACCCTGAGCCCTCAGACTGGGTCCCCACACCGAATCAATCCCCCAGAGTGCCTCGCGAGTACAAGACATGTGGGTGATACACAGCAAATCCTTGCTGAAGGAACACGGACATCTTTGAAACTGATTTAGAACCTTGCTTCTCAAAGTGTGGTCCCTGGACTGGGAGCACTGGCCTCACCTGGAACTTGTTAGAAATGCAGACTGTCAGGGCCTACCTAAAATTCTGATCCTGCTGAGTCAAATTCTGTATTTCAACAAGGTCCCCAGGAGATTCTTATGCATATTCGACTTTGAGAAGCACTTTCCAGCCTGGGGGAACCACGGCAGCTGAGAATCCGAATCACCTGGAGAACAGTTGCTTTTTTTTTTTAATTTAACTTTTTTTAAATTTCAGGCCCTGAATCATTCTAATGGGGAGAGAAGGCTGTGGCATCTGTTTTGTTTGAAAGCACCACAGGTGATCCTGATTATCTAGGTTTGGGATCATCATTTAGAGTTTACCTGTACCTTCTGCTAAAATGTTTAAGAAGGAAAACTCAATCTCTGAACTATACAGAAAACTCCCATCCACACGTAGATAATTCTGAGTTAACTGCATACGGAATTGCCCCTTTGGTGTGGCTTTCTGGACCTATAGATGCACTAGGGCTTCCCTGTGTGTGTGCTGATGAGGCTTTTCAGCCCTACCCCACTGAGGAACATGCCTGGTTGTCCAGAGAATGATGAAACATTCTGGTGCTTGGCCTGGTTTTCAAGAGAATGATGGAACTCATGCTTCTACCTGCCATGATGGCCCTCTGATATTTTTTCACCCCACCACCACCCCTAAATTCAACCTGACATGCCACCTCTCTGGCTAGATCATGGGCTGTTGGTGCAAAGCAAGGGCCTCAGAAACTACAACCGCTACTGATGACAGAGAGCATGGTTCTCTAAGTGTGCCTCTATCCATCCCTACTGATCCCAGACTATTTGAACAGCTTTTGTCTGCTCTAGTATATATCAAGATTTAGGGGTGTCTGGGTAGCTCAGTCAGTTGAGCTTCCACTCTTGATTTCAGCTCAGGTCATGATCTTGCTGTTCGTGGGATCGAGCCCCATGTCAGGCTCTGCACTGACCTCGTGGAGCCTGCTTGGGGTTCTTTCTCTCTCTCTGCCCCTCCCCTGCTCATGCTCTGTGTCTCTCTCTTTCAAAATAAATAAATAATCTTTTAAAAAACTTTAAAAAAGATTTAGACATCAGGAGACAAATTAGGGATTAAATGTGGCTGGGAAAAGAACAGGTGCTGCAGAAGAAAGCATGGCCTCCATTTCTCCATTTGATAATGAGATGACTGTATTAGATTAGTGATTTTCAAAGGGAAATCCTCTTGTCTAACAAAATTGTACTGGGACCTCCAATGTAGAAAACTGAATGAAGAAGAGTGGCTCTGACCAACATGGAGGATGAAGAACCCAGAATGTGACCCCGGCCCCTTTTCCTGCCCTGCCCCATTCCTGGGAACATCATTATCTCCCCAGGGCTCCGAGGAAGAAAGGTTAAGATAATCCCTAAAGTCTCTCCTGGTGCTTAATTTCTGCAAGGAAGATGAGTCTACAGCTGTATCAAAAAAAATCATGTCATAAATTCCAAAGTTTTAACAGGAATCACTTCCAGATTACCCACACCATCTACTTCCCTTATTAGCTTGGTGTAGAGCCATTCACTAAATTTCAAAACTTATACTTTCTCTACTGTAAGTTTTTTAAGCACACAATACTTTGAGAAATAATTTGTATTAAGCAAATTTCAGAGAAACCCTTGAATCTGGTTTCCATTCTTGTTCCTTACTTTTCCTGGAAATGAGAGGGATGTGGATGAACAGCAGAGAAAGGAGTGGCCCAGCCAACCTAAACTAGAAGAGAAACAGATTTTGGTGGGAGGAATTACAGATCTCAGGGCCAAAAGGATGAAGAAATGAACAGCTCCAGTATTCTGCCCGCACAAGGATTCCGTATCCATTCATGCCTCCCACATGAGCTAAGCAGTAGTTCTCGGGGGGCCTCATGCCAAGCACCAGTTATACAGTGACAAACACATAGTGTCAGTTCTCAGGAGTGACCTTCAGAGGGTGTGACAGTGTGGTCAGGAGGTAAGGGCTATGGCAGGTTTTGGTGGCTTGAGAAGGGGGTTGAACATAAACTCCATGAGGACAGAAAACTTGTGTTTTATCTGCTGTTAGAAGTCCCAGTGCCTGTGGTTTCAACAAATAGATGAACAAAGCATGCATCCCGCCAGTGGGAGGAGTTGGGACGCCTCTCTGACTGTTTGGTTAAATACTCAGCTGAGGCCCTGTATAACACATACGTGGCTTGTCCACACTAACCTTGGTCTTGTGAAGGCTATGAGAGGTGGAAGAACATGTAGATGGTCAAGAAGCAAAATGCACTTATAAAGCAACTTATTGTTGGGGCCCCTGGGTGGCTCAGTCAGTTAAGCGGCTGACTTCAGCTCCGGTCATGATCTCAAGGCTCATGAGTTTGAGCCCTGTGTCAGGCTCTGTGCTGACAGCTCAGAGCCTGGAGCCTGCTTTAGATTCTGTGTCCCTCCAGTCTGCCCCTCCCTCACTCATGCTCAGTCTCTTTCTCAAGAATAAACATTAAAAATTTTTTTAATAAAGCGACTTATTGCAAGTATAAATCAAGAGAGTAGAATCCCAGAAATAACCCAGAATTCACAGAAGAGTGCTGTTGCCTGTGTGCCCTACATAGGATGACTTTGGGGTAAGCCAAGGGCCCTCACGTTGTGAAGGGATGTGACAGATGCCCCCCAAACACTGCATGGTACTTCTCCTAGGCTGGGCACAGCTGGGGTCCCTGCAGATGGAATAGTGGAGGGGAGAGAGGGGGAAGAACATGGTGGGACTCAGTTTAAACATGGGTTTCTCAGGGAAACTTTCCCTGATGCTCCACTCTAAGCTCCTCCCCCAATCCTATGCCACTCACTCGTGGCACTTACGGTGATTGCAATGACACGGTTATTGATATAATTTGTATTTTTAAAGTCTCTGCCTCCATGAGCGCAGGGACTGTGTCTGTCTTGTTCATTTCTGAATCCCCAGGACCCAGTACTGGGCTTGGGTGAATGGCTGTATGAATGATGGAATCAGTTTGCTCCTGGAGAAGGTGGGTTCTGAATTAGGTTTTGGAAGAGCAGAGTACCAGACAGGAGGTGGGCAGGAACAAAGGGGAGACAGGAGTCAGCATAAGCGCCCCTAGAAAGGTCACCATCTCACCTCCACGCTGCTCAGCCACTGCTGGACCGACAGGAACGACTGTCTGGCTGTGAGATCGTACATGATGATGACGCCATCAGCCTTCCTGAAGAACTGCTGGGTGATACAGCGATACCTGCCATCGAGGGGCCACAGGTCATGGACTGCACGGCTCCCCCCACCCCGCAGCCTGGACCTGCAGCCCTCATGATAGGCAGTGCAGGAGGCAGGGTTTGGTCGGGGATGCTCCTCACCTCTCCTGCCCGGCCGTGTCCCACAGCTGCAGGGCCACATATGAGCCATCCACGTGCACCATCTTCACTTGATAATCGATGCCTGCAAGGTAGAATGCGCCTATCACTTCCAAATCAGACAACAATGCCCCCCTGACATGTCTGGAAGCACCTGAGGCCGAGGGTGACAATCCTCCCCATGCAGTTCCTGGAAGGAGATGTGGGGGACTAGACAAAAAGGCATGGAACCTGAGCTCTGGTCCTGTCTCTGCCACTGTGGGATGGCTATGGGGTATTGATCAAATCACTTAACCTCTCTGACTGGAGGTTCCTCACTGTAATGCAATCCACACCCCCTTTAAGGATACTATAATAAGGTTCAAATGAGATCACATATGTAAAAGCAACACACCAAGGCAAAGACAATTGTTATTTTTCATGAATTTACTATTGCAAAGATGGAGGAGGAGGAGACTGTCCACATGTTTCTTTCTTTTCCTCCTCCCTAAAATCTTTTTCAAAGTTTCCCTAATAAAATTCAAATATCCTTGGGGCAATGGATCATACCTTCAGACTTCCATCAGCCAATGCAAAGCTTTGTGGAGGAGCGGGGCAGGGGAGGGGGTGGTGGGCAGGTGGGGGGGTCAGAAGAGAAGAAAAAGGGTAAGGGAGGGAATCAAAAGCAACATCCACCCTTGAGATGGGTATAGAGCTCCTAATCCCATCACTGGGCCAGTCCAAATCATCTCTCTGAGGCTGGGACCCTACCCAGAGTCTTAGACCAGAAAGACAAGGTCAGAGATATGCATTCTCTACCTGTGCAGTGGCCCTCAGAGATAAGGACCTCGATGCAGCTTCTCTGAGAACATACTCTTCCTTCCTACATCATGTGAGAATGTCCACAAATCAGGGCACCTGAGTGGCTCAGTCTGTTGACCGTCTGACTCATGATTTCAGCTCAGGTCATGGTCCCACGGTCATGGGATTGAGCCCTGTGTCAGGCTCCGTGCTGAGAATGGAGCCTGCTTAGGATTCTCTCTATCTCCCTCTGCCCCTCACCCTTGCTTGCTCTCTCCTCTGTCTCTCTCAGAAAAAAATGTTCATAAATGCTGAACAACTTAACATTTTTAAAAAAGTCTTTCTCAGGGCGCCTGAGTGGCTTAGTTGGTTAAGTGTCCGACTTTCGCTTAGGTCATGATCTCGCAGTTCGTGGGTTCAAGCCCTGTGTTGGGCTCTGTGCTGACTGCCAGCTGAGAGCCTGGAGCCTATTTCAGAGTCTGTATCTCCCTCTCTCTCTGACCCTCCCCTGCTCAAGCTGTCTATCTCTCTCTCCTAGAAATAAAAAAAAATATTTTTTAAAAAAGTCTTTCTCCCTCATGGTATTATATCAGGGAACCAGAGGGCATCTCCTGCCTCTTTGAAAAGGCCCAGCCTCTGAGGCCTTTATCATAAAGGGCTCAGTAAGCGACAGCAACAAAATCTTGGACAGAACGAGACAAAAAGGACAACCAAGAAGCAGTGAATAGAAAAGGTCATTCCAGCCATTGTCTACAGGCAAAGGATAGCGGACGGGGAGGGGCCCAGGAGTGGTCAGAAGGCGGGAGAGGCATCCACTCCTACCATGTCAGACCAGCAAGGACTCTAAAGGCCTATACTTCACAGGTAGGGCCTGAGAGGGGACTGCATATGTGCATTAGAGAGAAAAAGAGTGATTTGTCCCATGGGTAGAATGCTTGATATTTCTCGTTTCCTATGCCATCTCTCCATCCTCACGGTGCTCCTGTGACATCCACGTGAGGGTTATTATCCGCACGATGCACGGGCACATGCCTGCATGCACATCTGTACACACATGCACGTGAATACACGCTCACGCACGGGCACACGCATGCATGCACATGCGCACCGATAAGTGCATATGTACTCCACACTCTACACCATCGAGAGATGAAGAAGCAGGTGTCCAGCGACGGTGTGCCTTGTCCAAGTTGGGCAGCAGCTACGGCGAGTTGCAAGCCCAGTTCTGAGGCTCATTCTTCATTTTGGAGCAGCGCCCTGTGCACAGGGACACCTGGCAGTCTCATTTCACCTAGAATGTCCAGGGCCAAATGCTCCCATCTAAACGGATTATGACTGGCTGGGCTGAATCTGAAAGGGTGAGTTTTCTTCTTAGCTAAAGGTGGAAGGGCTGTGCTCCGGGGGACTGAAGGAGCTCCCGGCTTCCTGATAACCACTCAGAAGAAAGCCAGCCATGGTCAACACACCTTCAGGGCCTGATCTGAAAGCAGCCAGAGGGTCAGAAGCCCCCGAGGACAGAGCCTTTTCCTGAATGGAAAGGCATGCAGGTGGGGGCGGGGCGGGGGACAGGTGGTGCTGCTTGGGGCAGCTAGGTCTTGGCTGCTGTCATGGTCCTGCTCTACCTCAGTGGCTAAATTCTTTGCCAGAGGACAGGGAACCTGTCTTGCAGGGAGATGCTGAGCTTGCTGAGGGTCCCTGCTGGGTACACGATGTACTTCTCTCTGCAACCTCAGAAAGAGAGGCCCAGGAAACACGTAAGCCCACGGGGGCGGGGGGGGGAAGGCAGGAGACACAGGGTGTCACCATCCACTAGAACAGGCGACACACAATGACGTGGGACCAGAAGGCCTGGAATAAACTGGCTTCTAAGACAACAACCAGTTCTAATATTGCAGGAGCAGAGGTAACACATGTTGTGTCTTCACGTCTCAGTTCTGCCTCTGACCAGCTGTGTGACCTTGGTGACATTACGTCATTTGAGGGGAAAGGAGATGTAATGGAGGGTATGGAGGGGTAGGTCAGATGTTCATAATCCTTTTTTTAATGTTTATTTTTGAGAGAGAGAGTGAGCAAGCATGAGTGGGGGAGGGGCAGAGAGTGAGGGAGGCACAGAATCTGAAGCAGGCTCCAGGCTCTGAGCTATCTGCACAGAGACTGATGTGGGGCTCGAACTCACGAGCCTTGAGATCACAATCTGAGCCAAAGTCAAATGGTTAACTGACTGAGCCACTCAGGCGCCCCCAGATGTTCATAATCTTTAAGTTCAGCTGTGACATTCAACAAACCCATGGAGGTGACCCCCAACTTGCAACCTAACTGGTTCCTGAATGACAGCTGGACCTTAGGAGTCCCCATCCCCATGAATTAGGTCCTGTCTCGTTGTGGTATAGTATGGGTTACAGCTGGGCTGATGAAGTCCAGGGAGGGTGACGTTAGTCCTTCTGGACAAGACAGGTCCCAGACATCATTTAGAGTAAGAGGGAGATGGGAGTGGGGAAGGCCTGCAAGGTGTCGTGGAGAACAACTGGGGATTTCTCTGTAGAAATGGGGAGGAGGAAGGAAAACAGACTGGTGGCCAAGAAAGGGCAGAGCACATTCTGTTGGGAAAAAACTTCTGGAAGAAACACGTTGGATTGCGGCCTGTGACTTAAAGCGGGGTCTGTGAACCAATGCAGGGCAGTGGAAGGCACACAGGACCCAGGGTCTTCGTTTCCAGCGAGTTTTATCTTCTGTTCATCAGTCTTGTCATTTACAAAGTCAGCTTCAACGTTCTACACAAGCCATCATTTGACATCTCTGGGACACCCACAGGGCTCAAGCACTTGCCCGGGAAGAAAGCTGGTCCTAAGTTGGGGTGGGCAAGGTGCCCCCAATCTCATGGCTGTGTTGTCGCACTTACATGGTGCACAAGGCATGAGTCGAGCACAAATCACATTTGTATGACAGAGTAGGAGACCTGAAGTCCCCTTTGATGAGGGTGGTGGTAAGACGCAAGGACCTGCTGAGCCCCTGTTAGTGCTATGCTGACCGTGATGGTGCTGCTGCCATTAAGGGTGGCAGGCAGAGCCCCAGTCTAGGCTTGGGCTGCTTTGGCCATAGGCAGGACTCTGGGACTTTCTGTCTCTTTAAAGAGAGCATCTTTCTGGTGGTTGGCATGACATCTGTTACTGACATGTGTACCAGAACAAGGCACGTTGTGTGGCAGGGAGACTAATTTCAGCTGCTGCTCCAGCATGTTCTGCGCAGTGTGATGAAGGGCATTCCTGATTTGGAATCTTTGATATTTTTCCCTTCCTAAATTGTAGGTGTTTCCATAATTGGCCTCCTGGGAAGTGCAAATTAGTCTGATTTTTCCTTTTTCAGAGGCTTCCAGCTTAGGGGCACGAGTTGGAAACGTAAACTGACCCCGATTCCCTGATTTCATCACCAGGGGAGGCATACTGTGTGTCACCTTGTCCAGAGGGTTGCCTTTGAGGTCCGAGGGGCTGGCATCTGCCCCTTGCCTCCCATGAGCCTGTGCTGGAGTCCTGAGCTATGCAGGCCTACCCCACAGAATGCTCCTGTAAAGGTGAGTCCTCCCTCCCACAGCCATTGCTTCCTGCAGCACACTGGGCTCACTCCCAGACCTGCCTCTCAAGGCCACACTCGTCCAAGCTTGGGTCATGGGCTCTGCCCCTCTTCCTGTCAGGCTCCTGATTCTTCATCCCGGGATGCTCCCAGTCTTTGGGTGGAATGAGGCAGAAGGGAGGGGACAGAAGAATGTTCCAGATGTGATAACAACATAGGAAAAGACCCAACAGTAAAAACAGGATCCCTCATGCGTGTGGGGAGGGATCCACGTGCAAGAGAAATTTTGGAAGGAAAGGGAAGAACATGGAGTCTCCCCAGGCAGGGCCCTGGAGCAGGGAAATTCTGTCTGATAGAGCCAGCTTGTCAGACAGTCAAAGGTCAAACACGGTCTGCACAGAGAACCAGGCTTGGAAGCCTTCCCGGATGACCTGGTTCAAATCCTCCAGGAGGAAAATCTTGAAGCCTCAAGGTGGGTCATGTCTTCCCAAGGTCACACGGCTGATCAGTGGGAGTCGAGATGAAAATCCAGGTCTTCTGATGTCCCACCGAACTTTAACAGCCTCCCCTGCCTGTAGCAACATGCGTCCACCTCTCGTGGTGGGAAAGTGTCCTCACCACCCACTGGGTGCTAGGCACACACAACTCAATACTGTTAGGAGACACTGTGGGATGGACTAGAAGGGAGCTGTAGGGGGCCAATATCTGCACTAAACCAGCTGAGGGGATGCGGACAAGCCTCTTCACCTCTCTGGGCCTCAGTTTCCTGATCTGTCCATTGGGCTGATAACAGTACTTTCCTCCCAGGGTTGTGTGAACACAGATTTGAAACGATGAATATAAAAGCCCATGCTAGCTATGCAGATCACATCAATATATTTTCAAATCCAGCTGACCGATCACTGTGGTTATAGGGTATATAGTAGGTGCTTAATGGATTTATGTTTCGCTTGAGTGATTCAAGCAAAAGCTAAAAGGTCGGTACACCCTTGGATCTTGCCACATATTCCAACGCAGTGAGCAAAGGCCTCTATGTGAATAAAATATTACTCAGGAGTGGGAAAACATTAAGTCATGATCATCTATTAATGGCTGAGTTTAATGAGCTTCCACGATGAAACCCAGCTGTCACACAGCAGGCCTGGGATGCAGAACTGGTACAAAGTGATGGTAAAGGGAGCCACCCAGCACGCTGTCCTCTGCCCCACCCATCTACATACACACACACACACACACACGGGAGGGCAGGAAGCTGCTGGCCCCTGGGAGTGGGGGCGAAACAAGGATTGTGGTGTCAGGTTCTTGCACAGGAGGAAAAGCAAGAACACTCAGGGCCCTGCTGAAAATGGAGGAAAAAATGATACAAAAGGGATGGGCTCAGAGGCGAGGGAACATGAGGCAAACTTCAGTCCCCCTGAGGCTGGACAGAGGAAGTGTCCTGTGGTCTCACTCCATGTGGAATGAGCTTAGTGGCTAGCAGCGTGCAGTGTGCGGGATTGGACGTCACCATACCCCTTCAGCCTCACTGGGGAACAAGCAGACATGGGACCTCTACCCGCCAGGCCCCCACGGCCACTCCCGCCGGCCCCCCATTCCCTTCCTGGGCCCCCTTCTCACATCGTCCCCTTCTCAGAGCAGGCCTGAGAACTCACCCACAGTGGCTGCCAGGCCCGGGGCAAAGTGGTCTTCGCAGAACCTCCTCAGGAAGGATGTCTTCCCCACGGCCGAGTTGCCCACTAACACAATTTTAAAGAGCCGGTCTGGGATGGAGGGACAGGCTTCCTCCTGTGGACGGCAGACAGTCTGGCCAACCGCCGGGATGATCACCAGCCCCTCCTCCTGCTGTGACCTGTCCCTACAGTGTCTGGGCCAAGGTGAGAACGTGCCCCCGGACCAGCATGAGGAAGGGCACTTCAGCCTTGGATGCATGTAGCTTTGGGCTCTGGGGACAGAGGCTCCTTCCAGCATCAGCGGGAGGGAAAAGACATTCATTCAACCATGTGTTGTCTACCTCTTGTGTTGCAGCCCCCGTGCTGGGTCTGAAGACACAGGGATGGGGGGGCAGGCCTGGTTTGTCGTGGAGGGAAGGAGGCAGGCGTATAAACAGAAAATTACAACAAAAGGCGCAGTGCTCCCAGAGTATGGAGGAGGAGTCAAGGGTCCACAGGGGAGGACACTTTCAGCTGGGATTTAAGGAGGCAGACGCTCCATGCGGGGGAAGGACAGGTGGGATGTTTGCTTTGGCGGGGGGCGGGGAGGGGAGACAGAAAAAAGGAGGCGTATCTATATCACAGGGGCAGAGACCACCTGGGATGGGCTAGGAAGGGGCCCTTGATTTCTGCTCTATCACTGAAAGCCTGGACTGAATGGAGGACGCTCTTGCCTCCCCGCATATTGCTGTTCCGTCCGTCTCATCAGCTTCTGTTTAGGACCCCATCTGCCCTGGGGAACAACCTCCACTCAGTAGGTTGGGAAATCCGCAATGCCAGGCCACTGGATGGAGCTTTCCAGAGCCAAATGGTCACTGCACTCCTTCTCCTGTGCCCAGCAGTGGCAGGAAGAATGACTGGGAGCCAGCCTGCTCTTCAGTCTGGGATGCTAGAGCCCAGTGGAGAATGGACTTGCTCCAGGACAGCCAGGAGCAGCAGAGTACGGAGCCGCCTTCTGGCACAAAGTCCTCTCGGCTGCACAGTCCTCCCTTCCAGTGAGCTAGCTGCTTCTGCGCTCACCCAAATCTGGCCTCCGGGCCCAGCACCGCCTGGCCAAACCAGGAGGCTCTTTTGAATCTATTTAGAAGCGGATTTGGGGGAATTAGCTCTTCTCACTGAGCTAATACTATAATGGAGTGACAGCAGATATTAGCAGAACTTGAATCTCAGAGAAAAGCCATTAGCAGCCTTTTGGGGAGAAATCAATTCTATGCAGTACTTAGAAGGGGATTCAAGGTCAATCACAGGAGTTTTAACTAAACCTTAAGAAAAAATCCACCGCACTCATAAACTATGCTCCCTGCCCCATTTTCTTTATTCTTGTAATGAAGAAGGGCATCCTCCCTGCCGGTCTCTGGTTAGCCTCTCTGCCTCCAATTGTCATTTGTTTGAGACTACAGCTCAGTGCAGCACTCTGTGTATCCTTGGGCACAGCGACAGGTGGGGAATGTGAGGCCCAGAGCAGGAGATGGAGGTTCTGGCTGCAGAGGCTGTGCTGGTCATGCTCCAGGAAGAGCGATTATTTTTGGAGGCCTAAGAAGGTCGACACACTGATGGTGCAGCTCTGGACAGGACCCAGCTCACAGGTGCAAGTAACTACTCATGTTCCTTCAAGTAACTCATGTCCCCTCTGGGGACAATCTGCAGCGAGGCAACCAGACTCAGGGGCTGGGGCAGAGAAAGATCTGTTCTCATTCTCCTTCCTAGCACTTAAAAAAAAAAAAGCTTTAGGAAACTAAAAGTAATACATGCTAATTTTCAAATTAGGAAAAGCAGAGAAGTAGAGAAGAAAATAATAATTACTCATAATCGACCCGACCACACAGAAGTGGTCACTATTTGTATTTTGATGCAGGCTTTTTTCCATATAGATGAAAGAATATATGTTTTATTTAAAGAGATTTGAGATATTGGGGAACCTGGATGGCTCGGTCAGTTGAGTGTCCAACTCTTGATTTTGGCTCAGGTCACAATCTCATAGTTCGTGGGTTTGAGCCCCACATCGGACTCTGCACTGACAGTGTGGAGCTCGCTTGGGATTCTCTCTCTCCCTCTCTCTCTGCCTCTCTCCTGCTCACCCTCTCTTTCTCTGTCAAAATAAATAAACTTAAAAAAAATAAAATAAAAAGATTTGAGATTGTAGACAATTTTATTCTACTTTCTCATATATTTTTTTCAAAATTTTAATGTTTTTATTTATTTGTGAGAGAGAGAGAGAAAGAGAGAGAGAGCGAGGGGAGGGTCAGAGAGAGAGGGAGCCACAGAATCAGAAACAGGCTCCAGGCTCTGAGCTGTCAGCACAGAGCCCGATGCGGGGCTCGAACCCACGAACCGTGAGATCATGACCTGAGTCGAAGTCGGACACTTAACCGACTGAGCCACCCAGGTGCCCCACTTTCTCATATATTATTAAATTATAAATATTTTTCAGCATCACTAAAGTTTCTTGAAAATGTGATTTTTAACAGTGCTACATAATCTCCTATTGAATTGACCCACTTGAATTTATGTCTCTATTGTTGGACATTTTGCCAAGTGTTTACAAATATACATAACCATTTCTGAATTAAGTCTGTCTGAATCTGGTTATTTCCTTAGGAATGATCACTAGGACTAGAAGTGCTAGTTCATAGGATGTGGAAGTTTTAAGTTCTTGATTCCTGTTATCAAATCGCTTTCCAGAAAGGCTGAGCTGATTTATGCCTCAGCAGCCTTGCATGGGAGGGCCTGCCTCACGGCGCTCTCCTGAAGACCAGACCCGCTATTGAAGCTGCTATTGACTTCTCATACAGCGTACTTCCCATCTGCTGGAACGTCTGTCCTGGGCTAACCACTGGAACATCTGGGAGAACCAGCACCTACATGAGACCATGTGGCGAGAAGCTTGCCATATGTCCCTGTGGGGCTAGACCTGGCCTCGCTCCTCTGGGCTTCTGCTTCCCTTCTGGCCACAGGGGAGAAGACATTTCTGATGTGCCCCACCTAACAACTGTGGGGATCACATGGCCCAGCACACAGGGATGCTTAGTTTTTCCCTTTACCTTGTCTCCTATTGACCTCTTAACACTTTTCTATTTGGGGGTATATCTTGGGGTATTTAAAACCCCTGTGTGCCCCCTGCCCACAAGTGTGGGTCTGTGATGAAGGGGATGTGAAAGGGCGTGTAGGAGGGAGGGGTTCCTACCCACCGCTAGTGTCATCCAGTTCTGGTCCCCCTGGCTTAGGTCTCTTCAGGGAAGGATATATAGGCCTGAATGTTAAGCCAGGCCCAAGAATGACAATGAGGCCAACAAGTCCCTGCAGTGGTCGGAAAGGCTTCCTGTCACATATGCTAACACAGCCATTTGAAAATGCTCCAGTGGTAAGGGCTCGGGTCTAAAGGGCTGCCCCAGTGGACAGGGGGAGAGTTTCTTTCACATCGTCACAGACATTTCTGTAGCCTTTTAGAGGGCCCAGTGGGAGGTGAAGGGGCTCGAGGAGTCTATTCCTGGGCCTGGGTCACCAACAAGGTGAGGAACGTCATCACCGTGAACCAGAGGAAGATGGTTAATATGGCCTCCTTCTCCCACAGGATTTAGCAGGAAGACCCGGCGGGGAGTGCAGGAGGGTCACCCCAAAGGGAGGTATGGGCAGGACATTTGGGAGTGAAAAAATGATTAGCTGATCAGGAAGCGAGAGAAAAATGATGGTGCACAAACTTTACAGAGCAATGACCGGCCCTGTGGGAACAGTTGCAGAATGTAAGAGTGGATGTGCAATTTAAAAAGTGTGTGATAATTTTATGCTAAGAGCCAAGCAGAGTGTCTAAAGTAGCTACTCAGTAAATGCTTCTGAATCTGAATCAGAAAAGAGAACATAGGGTAGGGAGTGGGGCAAACAACGGAAGTTATAAAGAGTATTTACCGGGACCCCTGAGTCTCCCCAGTGACATTGAGTTCAGCAGGGCAGGCTGGTATCGGAAGGACACAAATACGGTGATTCGTAAGACTAGCTGCACCTGACTTCCCAAGCTTTACTTGACTTCCCAAATTGCTTTTGTGGCTCTTGGGTTCAAATGCAAATGATAGGTATAGGAGTGACATCTATGAATCAACATGAGATGTGACCTTACCTTAGACAGGTCTTCTTTTCCAACAGGCTGACCTCGGGGAGATGTAGGCATGAGTTCCAAAGGTCTGGCCTGTTGGCTTTGTCCTTCCGCCCTCTGCTGGGAGACCTCTTCCTCTTCTGGGCATTTGCTCAGTGGCTGCTCAAAGTCACCATCCAGGAGCTGGGGCAGGGGGTCTTCTTCAATAGAGATGATTCTGCGAAGTGCTCGGGGGAGCGGACCCCCAGGGCCTGGCTCCTCTTCTGGAAGGGGATATCCACTCAGGCCCAGGGAGCTTCTCCTTCTTGAGAAGCCAAACACATCGTCTTCCTCCTCTGACTGGCTGTTTTGGGGTAGGGAAGAAAGAGAAAAGGGAAGAATAGCACAAAATATATCAATGGAAATGGGAGAGATGTCTGACAGCTCTGTGACAAGATGTCTTAAAATCCCTGTGACAAGCAAATGAGGAGTATCGTGTCTTGGGGGGCAGAGAGCTCCAGAAAAGGGAAAAACCAGACCCAGCATTCTTTGGCTCATTCGCCCAACACACTTATGGAAGTGCTTAGTGAATATAAAAATGATAAACTGGTGGTGATGACGATGATGAAGGTGATGATGATGATGATGAAGGTGGTGGTGAGGATGGTGGTGAAGGTGATGAAAATGATGATGATGGTGGTGGTGATGTTGATGATGATGGTAATCATGAAGGTGGTAATGACGAAGATGATGAAGGTGGTGGTGATGATGAATACCACCAGGTATTTAGCTAATGACAGTCACACACAGATGGACATGTCCTCCTGGAATGCTCAGCTTAGTGGGAGGCTGAAGCAGTAAGGCACAACTAAATATACTCTGGCAAGCTGTGGGAAGTGCTTAAAAGGTGGAGTAAGGGTGTGAGGAAAGGAGCAGAAAAGATCCGGAGAGAGGCACCTTGGTGGCTACGTCGGTTGAGCGTCCAACTTCAGCTCAGGTCATGGTCTCACGGCTTGTGAGTTCAAGTCCCACATTGGGGCTCACCGCTGTCTGTGGAGAGTCTACCTCAGATCCTCTGTCTCCTCTCTCTGCCCCTCCCCCACTTGTGCCCTCTCAAAAATAAATAAAACATTTTTAAAAAGATCTGGAAATAAAGTATTCACAATTAACCATCAGGCCTCGGCTGTGGTCTCAATACTAGCCCTTACTGACCATGCCACTAGGCAAGACACTTTCACTCTTCCAAACCTCAGTTTCCTCAGCATAAAATGTGGCTCATCTCCTCTGCCTGCCTCACAAATAAGAAAATGCATAAGAAGAGACATGTTCACAAAACAGCCCTCGACAATGTGAGTGGGGGATACCACCACTCTGGATGGAGCCCCCACAACTGGATAGATGTCCACTGGTTCCGAAGCAGCTGCCCTCTTGGGGATGGGCTTGAGATTCGAAACAAGCCAGGCTGGGCACCTCTACTGGCCTTTCCTACCTTTCTCTTTCTCTTTCAGTGTCCCTGAAAGTCAGAGTGAAGAGTTAGTGGCCTCAGAGGCCTATGTGCATATTTGCTTCCAGAAGCATCTGAGTGTCAAGAACAAGGAAAGGCAGTAGGAGGTGGAGGGAAGGAACTGGACAACCAGATGCAGAACAAAAGCACAGGCTGTATTTTCAGAAGGTTTTGACAGCAAAGGCCTCACAGGCCCTTCCTGGAACGGGAGTTCAGGCCTCTGTGAACAATTAAAGCTGGGAAGTGTTTTAACTGGAAGTTTGACAGGGAGAACTTTGAGTCCAAAATGGAAACACACATGCACATCCCCACACGTGCACACACGGATGCAATGATTGGAAAAGAAAACGGAATGTGAATGAGGTAAGGAAGTGACAGGGCCAACAGAGAAAGATGGGGAAGGAGCAAAGGTCACAGAGTGTGTAGAACAGTGAAGCTCCCTTCATCCCTCCCCCCCCCCCAGGCTTATAATCTTTATTATTCCTAAGGACCAGCAATAGGAAGGAAAAAGGAAAAACTGCATGTATCTTTGTCCTCAAGTTAAGTACAACTCCGAAAGATAAATTAAGATAGAGGGCTTGCTCACAAAAAGTGGTGACTTAATTTGAGTCCCTTGGTATAAAATAAAGAATTTTGTAGCAATTCAGGGACCTTTCCAGTTATTTATAAAATCATAGCTTTTAATAGAAGCCGACTGTCCTCTCTCCAACAAATTGCTACTATAGTCTACCAAGCCTACTGACTTTAGAACACAATTAGTATTACCATCCACTTTCACTCTACACAAATGCATATGCAAGTGCATACATGTGTTCACATGTGAGTGGGCAGATACACACAGAGGATGTTTTTTGAAAGGCCTTGCAACCAGAAAAAAAAAAAAAGCCAATGCAACAGACCTAAAATGAAGCCTTTTTTGAAAAAAGCTTTTGATTTGGGAAATTCTCGAGCACTACTGATACTCTGTAATACCCTGAACTTAGCATGACTATGTTCATTTCTGGTTTTGTCACCAAAGCCTATGTACCAGCAACAAAGAGCAGTGGCCTCAGCCAAAGTCTGTACTGGAATTTGTAGTGCATGATTTGTTATTTACTTGATTGCCTGTTTCCGTTTTCAACCATAAGCTTCATGAGAACAAAGCTAGGGTCTATTTTGCTTACCACTGTATACTTAGCACATAGCATAATATCTTGCACATAGTAGGCACTCAATGGATATTATGGAAGGATTCATGTTTAACTAATTTTGGAGTCTTCACAGAACTCAAAACAATGTCTGGTACAGAGTAAGCAATTGGTGAATGTTCGTTGTATGAATATATTCAGCGCCGAGGAACCGACAGGCCAACTATCATCACAGAAACTTGGATCCCAAACTGTATCCCTCTCTTGAGCTACTTAGAAAAGGAATTCAGGATGACTGGGTCCAAAGACTTGACTGATGAGCTCATCAACATCTCTGGTGTCATTTTCCCTTTTCGTATTGTGTATTTCATGCTTGCGGTCCTCAGGCTCTCCTGGGTGAGCAAATTCATGCACTTTTTCCCTGCGTTTGATACTTAGGGGTCTGGTTGCCTCTGCCTTTCTGTGGCTATTTATGTGGATGGAACAACATGTCAAAAAAGAAGAGAGGACAGAGGACTGGCTTGCCTCTTTCAATGGGCAATGAGCCACCCCTTTGGGGACTCCAACTCCATTATGTGCTATCTGACAACCACAAAAAATGTTATCTTTGAGGTAATTAATTCCATTGAAAGGAGTCTGTCAAACACAGGCCCTATTCCTGCTCATAAAGGAATTTAACTATTGGAGAGCCCATACCATACTTAATTTCCCTTCAGAGCCAAAAAAGTCATGTCCTTGAAAAACCAATTATATCCATCCTGCTCAACAGAGAGCACAGTACCTTCCAGCCATGCTCCATCTCTCCTGCTCAACCCCTCTCGTCCTCTCTCTCTCTCCTCCGCTGATCTACAGCACTTCTTCAGTTATTTTCTGCAGGCGCACACCAGGGTGAGGTGGCCCCAGAAGTCAATATCCTGTCCCAGGGGCCTGCTCTGCACAGTCCTGCTCCCACTTGGATGTTGGGACAGGAAGGAACATGTCCTCCAAGATTCAAGGGGAATGAGTGCAACTGATTCCAGGCTTCCTCACCCAGGACCTCTCCTTGAGAGACAGCGGGCTCAGAGCCAGCTCCCATGAGTGCAAGACAAATGAACACATAATGAATGAAGAAATACAGAATGACTTACCTCCTAAGAATCCCTCTGCCGTCCATATATTTGCCTATCACAGAGCCAGATCTCTGTTTCCAGTTTGCCTTGGAAGCAGCTGTGTTTGCCTTGGCTGCCTTATCTTTCTGCAGAAACACAGAATGCCCTCAGATCCATGCCTGCCGATGCGTCCCAGTGTTTGAGCAGAAAGGGCTCAACTTTCCCACCTCACAGGTCAGGCTCTAAACAAATTTCTGAAGTAAGATGCAACATTCTTATGCTTCCTGTCAGCACTCACCCACCCTTTCCTTGTGCTATTGTCTCTCATCCGGTTCCCTCCATCTCCCACCCAATAATCTAATGGAATGAATCCATACACAGTTTAGAGCCTGGGGCCCACCTTATTACCCTTCTCAGGAGTACTGACAGTTTGCAAGATGACAATAAGAAGAGATAACGTGGAATGCATAAGAAAATATTTACATGGGGGAAAGACAGTGGATTGTTAAATCACATTAATCTGTGTGGCTCTGTTTACTTCCAAAGCCCCAGAAATGAGAAAGGAACTAACCCAGAGGATCGATTAGCCTGGTGCCCTGGGGGGAAGTGGGGGCTTAGAACCCCGTTGACAATGCTCCCCAGCAGATGTCTTCCAGGACATGAGGGGGAGTTAGAACACGGGTAGAACCTCTCATCAACTATACCCACGATTCCCAGTGATTCGTAATGAGAGAAGGAGGGGCTGCAGTGCTTCCAAAGCCCCTGAAGGTATGGCTATAATGATTCCAAATTAATCTTTAATTATTATTCAGCATGAGCATGATTTTATCCCTCTTTCTTCTATTTCCCACTAGGGGCTCCTAATACCATTCCCTTTTCAAAGCAAAATGAGTTTGGCAAGTGGAAGGAAGGATGTGAGGTCAAAGGATTAGGGGGACATTTGGTTGGAAGTTTTAAAATAAATTCAGTGTTACTTCTAAAACAATTATAACCATTATCATCATCAAACAAACGTGTAGGCTTAAGGCTTGCTCAAATAGTACACAGAGGTGGGCGGTAGAGAAGTTTGCTGCCAGTCAGTGACAGAAAAGAAATAGTGGTGTAACCAGGTCCCCCAGGGATTTGCAGTTATAAACCAGGTCAGACTTAATTCACAGCAAACCGGCTGCCTGATGCTGACCACATTGAGGCCACTGTCCAGCTAAGGTCCACAGCATATGACCCTCCTCTTTCCAAGAGTTTTTTTTTTTTTCTCGAAAGCCCCTCTACTATGGGGAAAAGGACAGGAATTTCCTTTCCTCATGTGATAGTTGGGTTCATGGTCCAAGGAAGCTAATGACTTGCCCAGGGATACACGAGAAATTCATGGTGTCATAAATCCTAATAATTAGAACATTGCATCAATTAATCCTTCCCTCTTTTTCCTTCCCTTCAGAGCATCCGATGGCTCCTATCTAAAGGGGAAGATGAGTAGGAGAACACGGAATCCTTGATTTTGTTTAATGGGGCTCTAAGCGAAGACCTGTAAACAAATAAAGGATTCTGTGCTATTAGGGAAAGTATGGAAGTGTAAGAGCTCAGGTCTGGAGGAGCAGGGTCCCCATAGGATTAGAAATGGGTAAAATCAGCTATGTTAATAGTCAAATATACATTTTTAATTTGTTCCATGATGGTGTAAAAATGCAAATTTCATCAAGCGATATAAGTTTTAATGGAGAAAAAAAAAAACTTGTGAACATTTTGGTTAAAAGTGATCATGGCATTTCAATTGTGCCATCTCCTGGATAGAACTACCATGTCCGTGTCCACGAAATCCGTGACCCTCCCAGTTACTGTAGTCTCTTTAGCCAAGAGGAAAGTGTGGTGCCTCATGGAAAACTCACACACTGCTACCCAGAAGGTCACCCTGCATTTTTTATTATTTTCAAAAAATCCAGGCCATTTTCTGCTTATACAGAAAGAATGAGCCAGACCTCAAGGATATTCTGGGGCCTGTCCCAGCAGGGGCTATGGTGGCCAGCGGACCCAAATTCCGTTCGGAAAAGGAACACAGGGCAATTACCTGAAAACATATGTCCCGTTCATCTCGAAGGTGCTTGTTCCTTTCCCTGCAAACAGAAATGGGGAATCTATTCAGACATGGTATTTGTAGTCAAGAGATCCAAAAGCAGCCACTTTGCCAGTGAGATGGGTGCAGAGAAAGGCTTGACGTGGAAGGCTCAGGGAGCACATGGAAACTCTCTCCTTAGGGGCTGTGACAGAGCGTAGTTTGTGTGTAAATCACTGAGAGGCAGAGGGATAGACAGAATGACTGTGACACCCACCGCCCTTCAGGATCATGCACTGGTCTATCCTGCCACTAGGGGGAGCCTCCCCCCAGAGGGTGACCAGCTTGCTACTGGGGTGTGCGCTCTCTCTGAACCATTCATTCCATGCATGTGTGAAGTCACTCAACAAATGTCTCCTGAGCACCCGCTACATGCTAAGTACAGTCCTAGCTATTAAGGTTTACACAAATGGATAAAAGAAAATGTTTCTGTCCTCGGGGAATTGGTGTTTTAGTGCAGGGCTCGTTGCTATGGAGAAAGGTAAAGCAGGGATGTGGAATAAAGAGTGCAGGGGTGCAGTGGTAGTTCAGTAGTCAGGGAGGTCAGGGAGGCGGCATCTGGGCAGAGGGGCAGTTGGGGGCAGAGTGGCACAAGCAGAGGAGACAGCAAGGGCTAAGCCTGGAGTCAGGCTCTGCTGGGTGTGTGCAAGGAACCCCAGGGAGGGCATCAGAGTGCTCAGAGGGGAGCCACTAGGAAATGAGGTCAGAAGGGCGCCTGGCTGGCTCAGTTCATTGAGCGTCTAACTCTTAATCGTGGCTCAGGTCATGATCTCACAGTTTGTGGGATCGACCCCCACGTAGGGCTCTGTGCTGATGGCATAGAGCCTGCTTGGGATTCTGTCTCTCCCTCTCTCTCCACACCTCCCGCCTCAAGATAAATACATAAACACTTTTAGAAAAGGAAATGAGGTCAGAGTAAGGTGGGAGGACAAGTGGAGACCTGTTCATTTGTGGTCTTGTAGGTCATCGTAGGAACTTGGGATTCTATTCCAGACGAGATATGAAGCTGTGGAGGTTGGGGGAGTGGCAATGGAGTGTCCTGATCTGACTCAAGTTTCCAAAGGAGCCCTATAGATGCTGTATTAAGAATATATTGCTGGAGATAAGGATGGCACCCTGAAAACTGGCAACTCTTTTAAACACCATGGAGGTCACTGGTTCCCCTTTCAGTGTAATGGAGGCAGAAGGAGCATGACTGGTGGGTTGAGAATGTGAAGAAAGGAAATGGAGATGGAATGCAAGTGCAAACAATTCTTTTGAAAGGTTTTGAAAGCCATTAAGGAAATGGAAAGTAGCTGGATGGGGAAGTGGTGAAGGAGCTACTGGAGAAGAAGTGCTGTAGGACATTGATTGGTCTCTCCGAAGGAGGAAGAACTGGCCATGGAGGAGAGAGAACACAGGCTGAACCAGCCCTTCAGGAAGGAGGTCTCATTCTAGGGCACATTTGGGAGCCAGGCACACCGGGCATTCAACCACCACGACAGAGAAGGCAGGAGATGGGCACAGTTGGGCATACGGGACATGGTCATGTGACAGTTCTGCCTGTCTCTGTAATAGTAGCAAACCCTGAGAATGGCAAATGGAGAGTCTGCTTCCAGAAGGCCCTTTCCTCTGTGCTGGCAGAGAGATTAGCAGCCCTGCACCTGGGTGAGGACAGGGGGGCCCCGGGAAGCCCCATTTCCATCAGGGAGTACACTGCGTTGTTTCCAGCTTCGTGCAGCCATTTCCACGCAGAAGCTTCAGCAGTCAAAGAGATGTCACACTCTCGGATTAGAGGGAACTTAACGGAGGACCATGGGGGAGAAGAAGGGGAAAAATAGTGGGGGAGGGGGAGAGAGGCAAACCATGAGAGACTCTTGAATGCTGAGAACACGGGCTGATGGGCGTGGGGGAGAGAGGCAGGGGGGTGATGTGCATGGAGGAGGGCACTTGTGGGGATGAGCACTGGGTGTTATATGGAAACCAACTTGACAATAAACTAAAAAAAAATCACCAAATGAGCAGAAAAAACAAAGAGATGTCACTCTCTCTAAATAAATGTCCACTTTCATTCACACCGCTGCCCTGTCCTGATGGTCACTCGTATATACTATCTAGCTCTCAAGAAAAGCCTGTGAGGCAGGCATGAGAAAACTGATGCTCCAACTGGTTAACTCAATTGCCCAAGGTCACACAAGGTAATAAGGGTAGTGCTGGGTCTTGTCTGAGATCCAGCTCCAAAGTCCGTGTTCCCAGCTGAAAGCCCTGGAATTGTTTCTTTTTGCTGCTACTTGACCCTAGGAGGGCAGTCCCTTCTAAAGCTGTCACATCCCAGCCATTGCCATGATGGGGGCAGACCCCTGTCCTCCCTGGTACCTCCAACTCGCTATTCCTTCCCTCAGCATCACCTCTGTCCTTGATTCCCATTTCCCCCACTGCTCTCTGTCGCTACCTGATGATTTCACTGTGGAGGAAAAGTCTGCCACAGGGGCCTTCATACCAAGGACGGACTTTGACCAGCTGCAGAATCTAAGTTTATATGCATGCGATAGCACAGAAAGGCTTTGGGCATGTGATTCTGCATAAATGCCAGTCTCCGTCAAAAAGACCCATGCGTTTGTAGAGATCTGCCTTACCATTCTCCTCTGCTCATTCGCTTTGAATCTGTCCTTTTCTTCTAAGGACAGCAGAAGAAAGGGGAAAAAATCCCAAAATTTGTGCTTGTACACCCTGTTCTCTGCTTTTCACTAAAGCCTTCTAAGATTCAAGACCTGTTCGCAAATGGATTATAACTTGGCCATGTCAGAACCCTAGTCCATCTCCCCAGCCTTTGCAGTCCTGTTTGAATCATGTATTGAGGGAAGTAAATCTGAAATGCATTCAGTTCTGAGTACTTTTCAATTTGGTAGCATCCAAGATGCCAGACACGGTGACCTCACCTTGCTTTCAAATAAAACAAAACAAAAACAAAACAAGTCAGAGTGCACCTGATTCAAGACTACTGCACTCTAAAAATCAGAACCTGGGGAGCCTGGGTGGCTCAGTCAGTTAAGCGGACCACTCTTGATTTGGGTCATGATCTTATATGGTTTGTGAGTTTGAGCCCCACGTTAGGCTTTGTGCTGATAGTGTGGAGCCTGCTTGGGATTCTTCTTTCTCTCTCTCTCTCTCTCAAAATAAATAAATAAACTTAAAACAAAATAAAAATCTGAAGCCAAAGTGCTCATGCCCCATCAACCATTCCCAAGAGGTGTTTGGCAGACAGAAGTTACTGTAACTTGGAAACCTCACACATGAATGTGAAAATCCCATCTTTCCGCACACTGGTTTTGTTTTGGGTTTGGTTTTGGCACGTTCCAGACCAATGAGCTTTGAATTTACAGTAAGTTTAGCAAGCAGAGGAAACTCTAAATTCCTTTGCTCTGTTTATGCTCTGTGTGTGACTCATTTACTCATTCAACAGACATTAAGAAAATATGGTAGAATCAAGAGAATCAGCCAGATACAGATCTCAATTCTGACTCCCAGAGTGAGTGGCTGTGTCTCCTTTGGTAAATTGCTTCATTTCTCTGCTACCAATTTCCTTCTCTGTTAATTTCTCTATCAGGAACTGCCCACCTTTCCTTAATTTTGTTGAAGGTGAAAGGGATACCAGGAGCACCTTGGTGGTTCAGTCAGTTGAGTGTCTTGACACTGGCTCAGGTCATGATCTCAAGTTTGTGGGTTTGAGCCCCATGCATGGAACCTGCTTTGGATTGTCTCCCTTTCTCTCTGTGCCTCCCCAGTTCATGCCCTCTCTCTCTCAAAAGTAAACATTAAAATTTTTTTTTTTAAAAAAAGAAAGGGATACTACATCTGCCATTGGGTGGATGCTCAAGAAATTCATATCCCCTCCTACCTGAGCAGGTACTGTGCAAAGTGCTGTGGGAGATGCCACAACGAATGAGGCAGAGCCCACCTGCAGATGTACAAACTGGAGAGGGACGTGGGCGCGTGTGTGAATGGGCCAAACAATATTCTGGGGATCAGGGAAATGAGGGCACTCTCTCAGCAGCTGTGATCGTCCAGAACTAAGGCAGGGAAGACTCTCAGACTGGCCCTTCCAACCCAAGGAATGTGGGATGTGCCTTTGGAATACGTCCAGTGCTGACGCACCTCAGGAGATCCAGTTGCTTCAGGAGCCCTGACTTCTCGCGCTGCAGACTCTCCGTCACGCGGTACACTTCCCTGAATAAGAGGCAAACACAGATTATGAGCTTCCATAAAGGGGATGTAAGCCACCATGGTGTGAGGGGCTGTACTGCAGTTGGATCCCCAGGGTGCCCAGGACCAGCAGGCAACACCCCACCCTGGGGACAGGGGGGTGTAGAGACATATGCCTCCCCTGGTGAGCACCTGCTATGTGCAGGCGGTTATAGCTATAATCTCACATCATCAACACCGACTCCCGATAGGGAAGGCGAGATTATCCCCATTTTACAGACACAGACAGAGAGTCGGTAACTCTCCCCATGTCCCACAGACATTCCATGACTGAGTCAAGGTCCTAATCTAGATTAGGATTCCCTACTCCCAAACCCATGAACAGGGCTTCATAATCATCACGTGACTTTCCCAGGCTCCAGGTGACCCCTGCCCTACCCAGAAGTCAGAGAATTAGAACCAATATTCTCCAGCCCAATCTTGCAGGGTGAGAGCAGAACTTGTGTTTTTCCCCTAGCTGGTTTCGTTTGTTTCCAGAAGCTCCAGAAGAATCCTTCCCCATCCTCCCCCATAAGTCTCCAATCTATTCTTAGATCTCTGGAATTTCCTCAGTTGGTCATTCATTTCTTTAACTTAGGAGTTCTTATCTCTAGCCATAAAGCAGAAAGTAAATGTATCCATTGTAATCAGATGCTTAAATCACAGTGTGACCACGTCAATTATATCAGGAGTTTAGAGTAAGGGGAGGGAGGAGCTGAGAGGTAGTGGAGGTGTCTGGAGACCAACTCAGATGGTGATGCAGTGTCTGCCTAGTTTGACTGCATCTCTAAGTGCAACCCAGCGGCCAGCATGAAGGCATTGTCAACACACAGCAGTAAGAAACAGGGGCCCCTGGGTGGCTCAGTTGGTTAACCGTCCAACTCTTCGTTTCAGCTCAGGTCATGATCTCACAGTTTGTGGTTCAAGCCCTACATCGGGCTCCCTGCTGACAGCTCAGAGCCTAGAGCCTGCTTGGGATTCCGTCTCACTCTCTCTCTCCCCTCCCCTGCTTGAGCACTCCATGCTCTTTCTCTCTTTCAAAATAAATAAATAAACAACAACAAACAAATAAAAGTAAGAAACAAAAGGAGAGAGGGCAGAGAGTGAGGGAGGAAAGAAACAGGGAGGGATGGAGGAAGGAAGAGAGGAAAGGAGGGGTGAGTCGAGGAAGTATTCAACACCACCCAGGGAAGAAAGAAAAAAGGAAAGCAGAATTGGAAAATAAGCCTTGCTGAACTTGGCAACTTTGCCTCCATCCTTCCCTCTGTGCTCTGCACTGTGCTTTTAGAAATGTTTGACTCACCCCTAAGCTTACTGCAAAAGGCCCAGAGTTCCACATTTCCAAAGCACAGCATAGCTTCTAGTGTAGGGGGCATCTTACAGTCTCACAAATGCATCCATTTCCATAGGTTGGCCAGACTACCCGGATTGTGCACATACAGGGCTGGGCGGGGACAGCCACCCCTCTCCTGCCCCCTCCATGTCATTACTGAACTGGAGAAAACAGCACCTGCTTGCTCGGTCCATAAGGCTTGGGCCCTCCTCACAACAATCAGATTCCTTAAAAGGTATCTGTGTGGTTCTCCCCCCTATACAGAATAATTATAAAGTCAGTTTACAACAATAACAGACTGAATCAAATTCTAAGTTCACCTCAGACAATCCTAATTAAGCAACAAAACTTCTCTAGCTCCTGCAGAGATGCCAATTCCTAAGGTTTTATTACCAATTATATTTAATTTCAACTTGAGGGAAAACAATGTATTTCCCATTATCCAAACTGGATCCTCAGATCCCTGTCTTGGATTCTGCTGTGATGAGCAGTACATGAGCACAGCTGTTTGCTGTTGTGGTGCCCTGTGAGCCACGATGGCTTTGTGGTTCCTCCGTCCCAGCCCTGGGTTCTGATTCTTGACCAGGAGCAGACAACCCTGCCCCTGCTGAGAGAAATCACTCCGTGGACACCCAAGGTCTGTGTTCTCACAGAGCATTTGAGTTAGGAGCCAGTTCCTATAATATAAGGCATTCCAGGTCTTTGCCCTGTTTACACAACACAGTTGACTGCTGGAGACACACACACACACACACACACATATTACATATTGATGCAAATATATGTCTACCTGTTTGTCTAATAAACGTGCTTCTATTTAGATACACACACATCATCAGGCTTTTTCTGTGTTCACAAAAAGGAAGGCATCTGACCTAGACATTCTCAAGGTCTATACTGGAAACTATGTGAATTGAAAGAGAAAGAACTCTCCATTTTTCATAGGAGTAACTGGTGACATGTTTATGGTTTTCTTTAGGGAACTGCTGTTGGCTTTGTCTTCTGGAGAGGGATGAGAGGGAGCATCTCCAAAATATATCGTCAAGTGAAAACGCAGGCAAATGCTGAACAGTGTATAAATGAAAATTGTGTGTGTGTGTGTGTGTGTGTGTGTGTGCGTGTGTGTGCACATGTGTATGCCTATATATGCATAGAACACTCTGGAAGGATCCACAAGAAACCCTGAGTGGTGGCCTCTGGGTGACTGCAGGCTCAGAGTCATGGGTGGCGCGGGGATGGGCACAGGCCCCTTGCTGAGTGTAGATCCATTTGTGCCTCATCATAAACTACCCACCCCAGATGAAAATTCATTAACAAAATAAACAGGTGCTGCTTTCCAAGCTGACCTTCATCTTTATATTATCTCTCCTGCTTGATTGTTCTTTCTTTATCTTATTTTAAAATCAAGTTCTCCTTCCTTGAGCATCTTCGGGGAACAGAAAAAATATTTTTGTCCATTTAGAATTCTAGCTGATAAATGACTAAGTCTTCTTATCTCCCAGTCCTGTCCTCTCCTTTCCCAGCTTCTCTGGTGCAGCATCAGACAGCAAGACGTTGTGGAGCGGAAGCACAGGGTATGGGGAGAACTCAGCTCTGTCCCTGTTTTTTGGCACTAACTAGTTGTGTGGCTTTGAGTAGGTCACTGCATCTCTCTGAGCCTCATGTTCTTGGTTTATAAAATGAAGAAAGAGGAAGATGAGAGCACTCAGCTTCTGTCAGTACTGCGGGTCTGAGACTCTGTTCTACAGAGAACCAGCTAAGGCTCTCACTGCCCTTCTCTCCTGACCTCCCCAGACAGGACATTCTCTTCTGGGCTCCAGCATGTTTTCCAGCTGCATAAGGCATTGCACGCTTTTTGAAAACAAGTCAGGAAGGTTCTGAAATCATTTATCTCTTCCTCCTAACCCTCTTTTTCAATTCCCAGCCTCCTGAGATCGTCTCTGGCTTGGTTAATTAAGATAAGACTTCAGAAAGATTTTAATCCTCATGCTGTGATTTGATACCCTGGCACTGGGTGCTTATTTCCATTTGCTGTTCTAATGCTGGTGCCTTCAGATGTTTGTTGTTTTAGAACTTGATTGAATTTTAAGAGCCTGAATCCTTAATTCTGTTTGTAAAGTTAAATGCCTGTGCCTTGTTGGCCTGCTCTCAATGAGGAGGAACTGATTTTGCTCCTTTACAATGAAATACACTGTCCTGCCCGTGGTCACCCAAGAATTGGAGTGAAAGGTTTTGTTTTAAATCAGCTGCTCAGAATGCATTTTTTTTTTTTTAAATTAGAGAAGTCTTGGGGCACCTGGGTGACTCAGTCGGTTAAGCATCTGACTTGGGCTCAGGTCATGATCTCACGGTTTGTGAGTTAAAGCCCCGCGTTGGGTTCTGTGTTGACAGCTCAGAGCATAGACCTTCGTCAGATTCTGTGTCTCCCTCTCTCTCTGCCCCTCCCCTGCTCGTTCTCTGTCTCTCAAAAATAAATAAATGTTTAAAAAAATAAAATCAATAAAAAACAAACAAACTAGAGAAGTCTTACTAGGGTGAAGCTCCACATGCAAACACATTTCCTCCCTCTCACTCTGGGCAATCAGTCCCAAGCAGCACAGGACAGCACAGGACAGACAGACAGCAGAACAACTTGATTTAGGCTAATGGACCCAAATTTTGCCAGCAGTCAGACAGGGTGAGGGCTTTCACTTTTGAACAAGGAGAGTTAACGTATGTAACACTCAGGCACTGGTAGGTAATACTGTCCTATTCTCTGAAATCAGCCTCTCTGTAATACCTGCCACAGGACCAGGCACACGTTACCTTCTGCGGAATGAACGAAGGGAATGAATGAATGCATGAATGAGTGATGAGTGAATGATGGCCAGTCCCGCTCCTGAGTACATATTTTTTGGCCGGCTCATTAGTCACTGTGCAGAGTCAGCAAGATGTGTCTACCACTGAGTGTTGTGCTAGACAGTTACTGAGAACCTCAGACTCCATAAATTAGGGTTGATAATTACAGTACCTGCTACATCAGGGTGCTTGTAAAGTTCATACGAAATGATGTCAAATTATTGACATAGGTGAGATACATTGAATGTACAACAAGGTACCTGGGGCAGAGGAGTCTGCAATAAATTTTTAACACGAGTAAGTAAACAAATATATGGGTAAATGTGTGAACAAGTAAGTGGGACTCCTGTCTCTGGACACGCCCAGGAGCGCATTCGTTCTCAGAACCTAACACTTCCAAGACGAGATGGATGGCCGGTGCTCCAGCAACTCCTCAGCCCCAGCCTGCAGACCCGGCCCTAGATTCTTCCTCACGTGTGCGTCTGCCTAGCAGGCTGAGCCCACTGGCCACACACACAAAGGCAGGTCACTGGCAAACCAGGCCTGAGAGATGTGGGGCTCCCTGCACTGGGCCCACCAAGGACATTGGTGGGAGAGAGCAGGCAGACTGCAGCGAAGATTCCAGGGCACCGTCATCCCCTCCGTCGGATTACATGTTGGCATCAGAAGACTACATGCGTCACTCTCGTCCTGGGTCTCTAACCTATGACAGGCACATGTGGTCTGTGCACACTCAGCCTTTTCTCAAAGACTGCCCCGTATTTGTTGGCTGGATAACACATCTTTTGAATCAAGGACAGGGTTGTAGATTTCCTGTCAATCCTAGATTCTGCTTGCTCCAGTACTGGTCTGCTTAATGGCCTCGGGATCCTAGAAGAGATTTCAGGGAGCAAGCAGCCCCCAAGCCCCACATTGTAGGCAAGGCGGCAGGGTCTCTGAGGGAGGAGACCTTGGCACGCTCACAGCAGGAGGTGAGGCTGGACGGCAGGGACAGGAGCCCATGAGGGCCAGACTCACATCTCCTTCTCCTGCTGGAGTTGGTGGGCCTCTCGCTGGAGGCTCTCCAACTGCTCCCGGGCGTCCTGCAGCTCCCGGGAGGTCCGCTCCAGCTCCTGGGCCAGCTCCTGGTTCGTGACTTTCAGCTTGGTGTTCTCGGCCTTGGTCTCATGCTCATCATTTTGCAGGGTGGTGCACTGGCCTTCCAGCTGGAAAGGAAGGTGGGAATGATGAACAACCCCCAGCCAGTCTGGCCCTGCCCCAGCCTCCCCTTGCTTTCTCCACTTGTACGTGGGAGCCCTCACTGCCAGTCCTCACTGCCGACCTTCACTGCCCTTGGCCCTTGACAGGCTTTGTCCCGCAGGAGCTACTGAACAGTCCAGAGGGTATTATAGTCCGGCACCATTCACAAAGACCGCTAGGAAAGGGAGGTCAGCAATCCATCTGTGTTGTGTCCCCAGTCCTGGTGATGATAACGATGACCATTAGCATCTCATCCATAGTCTTGAGAGCCAACCTAAATCCCCCCATCCCTTCAGCCAATTGTCCCCCTCAGCCCTGATGGACAGGGGAAGCAGCTAAGTGGTGTTCTTAATAAAACTGTCCTTCCCAATTTTGAATACTGACAGCAAATCTATGTATCCCCTTTTCCTCGCTCCACTAAATAAATCCGTTCCTTTAATCTAGAGAAACGTTGTGTGGTGGCCAGAAACTCTGGAAATTCTTAGCAAATAGCTAAAACAGGTCAAACCAACCATATACTTTTTTTCCATGTCCCGAAAGCAACTAAAAAAACCTGCATTTGTATAACTGCAGCGTTTCTTGGTTGGTGATTCTGCCTTGCAAAGCTTCTAACCCTCTCACCAGAGGAGGAATCAAACCAAGCAAATATATCATAATAAATTTAGTTTAATAAATGCGGCCAGCGAGGGGAAGAGGAGACAGCAACAAGGAATTCTGTGTGATTCTCAAGAGGCTCCTGTGTAATCAGGCAAGCATGCAGTAATTAAATCGAGTGGCAATCATTCATTTGAGGGATAAGTCTAATTGGTAAGAACTTAATGCATAATAGTGAGGGGGAAGAGAGTAGGAGAAGAAAGGGGTGGCTGTGGAAGGGTAATGGGAAGGCAGCTGGCAGTTCCTCGAGTGGAAATTATTTTGCTACAGAAGAAAGAAACCAAGAGGCATGTGGGTGCCTCGGTTTCAGCTCAGGTCATGATCTCACGGTTTCGTGAGTTCGAGCCCCATGTCCAGCTCTGTGCTGACAGCTCAGAGCCTGTTTGGGATTCTCTCTCTCTCTCTCTCTCTCTCTCTCTCTCTGCCCCTCCCCCACTCACACTGTCTCCATCTCTCTCAAAAATAAATAAAGTAAAAAAAAAAAAGAATTTATTTTAAAAACAGAAAGAAACCAAAATGCATAGGTCAGGGAGCAGCAGGAGTGGGACAGTCTGCAGCCTCAGCGTGGGGGAGCTTCGAGCATATTTTAATGTGTTGCTGAAAATAGCCCTCTCTATTCAAACAGAAGCAGTGTGTCTGGGTCTATCCAGGGCAGGATTCCTTCTAGTGCCAGACAAAACAAAACGAGAGGACAAGTGGCACCCTGGCCTCTCTCCCCCATGAGCCCTCACTTTGCAGAGGAGTCTGTGATTGTGACGTTTGCCTAGGTAATCAGTCTTCCTGGGGTCATTAGGCAGCCATGGTGGCTGGACACCGGCCTACGCAGTGCACGGCCCAGACTGCCTCCTGGGGGCTCAGGGGCGTCAGAGGGACAGGGATGGGCAAGTTGATCTTTGAAGAGTCTCTTCCGGCTGGCGGTATCCACAGCCACGCCCGCGGGAAGACATCACTGTCGCCTCCCGCAAAGCATTAGTGACTTTGTCCTTTGTACCTCAGCATCCCCCTCTCCTCTTACCCAGGATGCAGGACACAAATGAACGTTTGGCATTCTGATGGCTCCTGGGCCTCATTAGGTGACAATGTTTTCAGATGCCTCGAGGGAGAATTCTTGGCAACTCTTCCCAACTGAACACCTGGCACTGGAGAGGTAAAGGCTTTATCCTGGGATCACCTGTGGTTTCAAAATGCTATCTTTTGTACACCTAAATGGTTCTTCTCCGATTAAAAACAGACAAACAAACAAAGCCAAATCCCTAAGTGAATACGGGGGAAGAGGGCAGGGGCCGGGAGAGGGTGGAGTGAGGAGGAGCCAGGTGCTCCAAGACCGCGGCAAAGGCACACCTGCTTCTGCTTCTGGACGAGCTGCTCCAGCTCCTGCTCCTTGGATAACAGCTTCTGCTCCAGCTCCTGACTGCGGGCCTGAAACCTCTCCATGTCCTGCCGGGCCAGAGAGAAGACACGTGAGGCCCTAGTGCCCTTGCGATGGGGATTTGTCCCCCACCTTCACCTGCTCAACAGCAGGGCCTACTCATCCATTTGGACTTTGGGGCCCTTCCCACAACCTTCCAGGGCTTCAGCGCCCTGCCCGGCTGGTCAGGGAGGCCCACTGGGTCGAAGACAGCACAAGTGCTCGGGAAGGTGTGATGCCAACTCCCCAAGTCCCACCACGTGTGACCGTTACCAGTGACTGTGCACTGCCCGCCCACCCGTGCGCCTCCGAACACAGAGAACCTCAGGCCTCCATCTCCCCATCTCTAAACTGGGGGGAGGGTGGGCTATCCTTCTAATGTGGATATTCTGTTCCACTTTCGGTACAGTCAGTTGATCCCTCATACTGCTCCTTCCTTAGGAAACACAGGGCATCCCTTCTTTCCCTTGAGGGTCTAGGTCCTCGCCGTGTCCCGCCATGATTGAGGCATCCCAGCCCTGCTCTTGTGACAGCTCTGCCCCTGTGCTCCGCAGCCCCTCCCCTCCCACCCTGGAGCTGAGCTTCCCTGCTCAGGAAGCTGCTGATGCAGTGTGCAGGGGCTTGAGGTGGGGTACAGAGAAAACCGTGTGGGTTGCTGGGACGCCTGACACTCTCACAGAGCGTGGTCTGCTGTGAGGTCCCTCAGCTGGGCGTCAGGAGACCGGGGGCTCCAGCCCTGGCCTTACGCAGCTGCCTTGACTTCATTCATCTATCATCGTTTCTTTGTTCAGAGGACAGAAACGAAAATATGCAGGCCACCTGCAGCTCTCCACTCCCCTGAAGGCAGAAGTTTTGAAGGTGCAAAACTTGCAGGGAGAGAAGAAACCATTATAACGTGCATAGAGCTCACAACAGGAGCCCCTGGGATTCCACCTGCCTGGGGGGCTGCACATGAGGGTCTATGAGGCTGGGCGTGATGGCAGCCCCAGGGGTTTGGGGGCATCCAATCACTCTCCAGGTACAGGCCTTTGAACACCACCATTCAAAGGCTCAGGATTATTTCCTGGGCTCATCCTCTGTTGATGATACTACCTGGTCCTCAGCCTGTTCTCAGGCAGGTACTTGGAGCTCAGGGACAGCCTCTGATCACCCTTGCGTCAACCCCAGGCAACGGCAGAGGCAGGGTCTGACCGGGCAGCTCCTACCATCAATGCCTTCACCGAGGCACCCGCTTTGTTCAGCTCGGCTGTCGCTCACAGAGTAGGCGTTCAGGGGAGGCGGGCAGCTCCAGGATTCTAGTGCAGATGCCGCCATCCCGACGGTGGGCCTGCGGAGTGTCTGATAGCCCTGGTCAGCACAGAGAATCGAGGAAGGTCTATTTTCCTGGAGCTGGAGTGTGCCAGTCATTAGGTATTTCTCTCATGGTCAAACAGACTGCTACATGTAGAGCCAGAAGGCCTGGCCCTTCACATGCTGTCATAAACTATCAAACCACTGTCCTCACGCTGTGACCAGGCAAAAGCCTGTGTCTGCAAAGCCAAACACATTTCAACAGTTTCTGTGTTTACGCAAAAAGCAGAAACCTAGGCACTGGGCCTGAAAGGTGTGGGGTACTGAGAAGGGGAAGGAGCAGAAGTGGGGGTAAAGGGTACAAAGGTGTGGTCCCATCCCCTTACATGATACGATACTAATGTGTCCTTGAAAGTTTTCCTCCCACCTCTTCCCATTCCCAGTTCCCATGCCTTGGCCCGCCTTTTGCTTCGGAAGCACGTCTCTTTCATTAGCTAGGACCTCTGACTTGTAGTCATGGCCCAGCATAGATCATTTGGGGGTAAAGGGAGTAGCTCTCTCACTGCAGGGGAAAAAAATGTCTGCTGTTCTCAGAAAACTATTTTAGGGTCTGCTGGGTGACAGGTGTGTGAGTTCTGTCTGCCTTTTACTCATCCAACCATGCTGAAGGGCAGGAGGCAGGCAGAATGTTTTAAATCTTTAAAAAAGAATGGGTACGGGGGGGTTTGGAGAATATGACCAGCTTTTTCTGGAAAGCATTGAATGGTATCTGTGATAATAAATAGGTCCTTGGTGTAGATAATCCAAATCAGCATATAATCAAAAACTGGTTCAAACCAACCTGCATTAACGAGGAGGGAAGGGTTGTGGTAATAGCCCAGATTCGGTTCTGAGAGGCAGTGCAAAATGTGGTCTCTATGCTGTATTCCCAGAAGTCCTATCTTGAAACTTAACCCCAAGGTGATGACCCCACGGACGTGGGAAGCAGGTGAGTGGAATCAGTGTCCTTATAGCACACACCTGCCCCCTCTGCTCCGTGGGGACGCAGCAAGAGGGCCACAGCCAGAACCAGGGAGTGGACTCTCACCAGAGCCTGGCCACACTGGCCCCCTGATTTTGGACCTCCAGCCTTCAGAACTGTGAGAAATAAATGTTGTTTATAATCCACCCAGTTCCTGGGTTTGTTGTAAAGGCAGCCTGAAGCTACCATTCAAGATCAATGACTTTTCTGCTGAGAACCCACTATGTGGATAATTGAATAATGGGTAAGAGAGTTTCCTGTAACTTTGTTTCATAAAAATGTTCCCAAAAGGACCCTGCTTGTTTGGAAGAGGAGAGAATTTCACCGATTCTGACCTCCCAAGACAAACAGCAGGCTTAGAGGCTGATAGGAGGAGCAGGATGTGTGAGTTTTACATTTTCTCCCATGGGGTCTGAGAAGGGCAGGATTTGACTTGTCTTGGGCATTAAGTTTTCTTGGTGTCTAAGGGAAAGGATGGGAAGCATGGGCTCTAAGGATTGTTCCCTTAGAGGGGCTGGAGTAGAATGGACTGCATTTGGGTGGGCCTGACATCTAGGTCTGGGACCAGCCAGTGTCAGACCCGGTCTCCAAGCTGCTGTAACTGGTAAGCACAAGCACCTTCATCCTTTTGTTCATTAGTTCATTCATTCATCACTTGTTCATTCATTCATTGATTCAGTAAGTATTTATTGAGTACCAACTGTATTCCAAGCATGGCTGAGGTGCTGTGGATACAGTAACAAGTAAAGATAAAGATCCCTGCTCTTGGGGAGCTTGGGTGCCTCGTCAGTTAAGCATCTGACTCTTGGTTTTGGCTCAGGTCATGATCTCACATTTGTGGGTTTGAGCCTGGCATCGGGCTCTGCGCTAATGGTGGGAAGCCTGCTTGGGATTCTTTGTCTCTTTCTCTCTCTGCACCTCCCCTGCTAGCACACACACTCTCTCTCAAAATAAATAAACTTTAAAAAAAAAAAGATCCCTGCTTTTGCGGTGCTTATGTGTTAGTACGAGGAGACAGACCATAATCAACAAAAATAAACAAGGAAATTAAATGTCACATCTGAAGGTGACAGATGCCTTGAAAAATACAAATACAGCAGAGAGACAGGGTATCCACAGTGCCATGGGTGGGGGCACTGCAAACTTTAACCAGGGGAGGTAATCAGAGTAGGCAATATTTCCACCTGGCACTCAGAGCCGAGTCCCGGTGTAGACTCTTACTTTCAGGAGAAACTGTTCCTTCTCATGTTTGATTTGTTGTTCCATCTCCTCGTAGAGATGCTGGATTTCTTCATCATACGCAGCAGTTTTCCTGCAGAGGTGGCAGAAGGAGAGTCTGATGACTATACTGGAATTCATTTATCCCCCAGAGCAAGTCCTGGAGCTTGGGCACCAGAATCCCATCAGAGGCTTGAGGCTGCGGGGATGACTGTGTAGGTCAGGTGAACCAAGGCTCCAGGACTCGTTCCTCAGGATTAGCTGGCCATAGAGGCCCAGCAGGACCTCATCCTCCTCCTAGATGACCCACGCACTCCTCAGTGAGCTTCCCCGGCTCCATCTGCCTTAACTCTGCTTTATTTCAACAGCAAGCCCCCTGGCCTCTGCTGGATGCACCTCCCCATTGTACCCTCATCCCTACACCTGTAGACAGCATAAAGTTGTGTTGTGTGGGCTTCATTCCTGTTTGGGCTCTTGGTTTATCTCCTTCTCACTGTGGATGCTACCTGGTTCCATCAGCACTGTCTGAAGGACACTGTCAGACAGCTCTCCCGAAATTGTGTGCTGAACTCTATGTGATCAACATTTCTCATTAGATCACAAAAGATTCCATGACCCTGACAATCACTGAAGGCACGCCCCCTACGAAGAAAGTGAGGGCCATGCTTGGCCAGTGCTCATGCCATCTCAGGCACACGGCCCCAAGCAGACAGTATGAGAAGGGGCAGGCTGGTTAAAGGTGGGCAGTGATAATGAGACCCCCTCATCCTCCTTCCAGCATCTTCTCCCTACACTGAAGAGCACCGCAGGACAGGAAGGAAATACCTGGGTACTCTGCTCCTATATAGAGACCAAGACAGATACGGCTATGAGAGCAAGGTTTATAGGTCCTCTCGGGCGTTGTTTGTCATGCTCTCCCAAGATATATCTTTCTTTGAATGCCTCCTCCCACCCCACCTCCAAATTCAAACAGGAAGGATGAGGTATTAACATTTGAACTGAGATGGAAGTTATCACTCCAAAGTATTCCCATTTCCAGGGCCCTGCACAGTTACATCTCTTCTCTAACCTGTGGCAAAGGGCTCTCTCTTTCTCAGTCCCTCCCTGTCTTCTTTCTCACCTGTTAAGGAAAATCCAAGCTCAGGAACAGGCTGATGTCTTGGCTCACAAGGCTGCTTTGAACACACACATACTGCAGATTTTGGCACTTGCCATTCTAAACTCAAACAGTGATAAGCACTTTCTGTCCTTTATTCAAGTAAGAAGACTTTAATAATTGAGGAAATAGGTCCAGTTTTCTGTTCTGAGAGGTGCTTGGGAGATTTCTGAACAAAACATCAAGGATGGGAATGTATTTATTCCTATGAGCCCTTCATTTCAACCCCCACTGCCTCATGTCCACTTCAGGCTCCAATCCAGTGCCAGCCTTCCCTGCTGCACCAAAGCATGTCCGTTCCTCACTTGCTACCTGCTGGGGAACCTTTAAACCACATGACTGAGCATGACTCAGGAGCCATTTTGATTGACATCTTTCTAGCTCAGTAGAAACCACAAAACTGACCCAGACAAAGGACTGATGTAAGTCTTCATGGCCAAGGTCACATATCAGAGCAGAAGCCTCCAAGTTCCCTCTCCTGGCCATATTCCTAAGACCAGAAACCCTTTGAGTGAGTATGGCAATGGCCATATTTTGCTGAGCAAAAAGATGACAGCTCTCCAAGACTTCCATGAGATGGGGCCCTGTGTTTACCATTCTGGGTATAGGAAATGTCTTGCTGGCTAAGAGTAAGAAATTTCTTCTTGTAAATGACAGATGTTTTGGACTGTTACCTTGGTTATGAGCCAACCCATAATAAGTACAAGGTAATATGGAGGGAATGAGGAAGAAAAGCATGGCTGTTGAATAGGAACAGTTCAAGGACAGAAATGAATATTGTTTGGAGGGACTTTCAGGAGGAAAGTTTTTGCTTGGTCCCTGCAATCATCTTCCTTATGCTTGAAGAAATTCAGGTACTAGATAACTTTAGACAGTGACCGCAACTATATAAATACTGAGATAGAGTGAGATGGGAGAAACTTAAAAGCTGAGATGGGAGAAACTTAATAGAGTGAGATGGGAGAAACTTAAAAGCTGATTTGCTCTAATAAAGCAATACTAATTACAGCCATCTATAGAAGCTGTTTACCTTGTACTTAATAACCAATTCTACACTATCATTAACTATGTTACATTAACTTTGCTCTAAGTTTTATTTGATTGAATTAATAAACTGTGTTTCATGCCCACATGTCAGTTCTCTCGTCATGAAGTAAGTAATTTTGCAGACTGCTGAAAACCAAATGGGGGGAAGGTAGAGGTAGCCTCTGAATGGTGCTTACTTCTAGACCTCACTAACAGAGGCTGGTCCCCTGCAGAGAAGCCCAGGCATTCCAGGTGAGCCTCAATGTGCCTGGGTCCAGCTCAACCTGACATATCTGTGGAACCAAACCTCTGGAAATGCTTTTGAATAAAGCTGGGGTCCTAGGGGACTGGCCAGGCTCAAAGGTTCTCAGAGGATGAATCCCACAGGAATTGACTGACTCATTGTTTTAAAATGTTTATTTATTTTTGAGAGACAGAGAGAGAGAGAGTGGGGAGGCTCCGTGCTGATAGCAGAGAACCCAGTGCTGGGCTTGAACTCATGAACTGTGAGATCTCGACTTGACCCAAAGTCAGGATGCTTTACCAACTGAGCCATCCAGGTATCCCAAGGACTGACTGACTCATGACCAGCCTGGGTCAGACACATGAGCCCTAGGAATGGGGAGAATCAGGGTGCTGTTCACATCATTCATACCATTAAACCGGCTCAGGGCTCAGAAGACCTAGGTTCTGACTCCAGAATCAGCTCATATCCTTAGTGTAACCTTGAACACTCTGACCTCATTTTGTCCCAGAGCAGCACCTGCCCCGAGTCCCTCCCGGCACCGGCATGACGAACAAACAAGAGAGCTGGCGTGAAAAGCATTTGGAATGGCAAAGCCCTACATAAACATAAGGGATTATTTATTATCGTAATTATTATCATGGCTGTGGAGGGCAAGGCCTGTTGTTTCCCAAAGGGGAGGAAGGCCTTAGTTTCAAGGATAAAAGTGCTGCTGGGTTTGGTAAAGGTGAGAGGCAATCAGGAAGATGAAGAATGGAAAGCTTCGTACATAAAAGTGCCTGTCGGATCAATCCATTAGAGACGCAGGCTGTATGTGAGCAGAAGCCACTGAGCCCGAAGCCTGTGTCTGCAGCAAGCTCTGCAGTGGCCGTGAGTAGAGTAACAGAGAGAGACTCTCTAAAAAGGTCTGCACATGGGGGGCCTGGGTGGCTTAGTTGGTTAAGCGTCCGACTTCCTCTTAGGTCATGATCGTGGTTCATGGGTTCGAGCCCCACGTCAGGCTCTGTGCTGACTGCCAGCTCAGAGCCTGGAGCCTGTTTCAGAGTCTGTATCCCCCTCTCTCTCTGACCCTCCCCTGCTCACGCTGTCTCTCTCTCTCCTAGAAATAAAAAAAAAAAAATACCCTACTAAAGAATGAATGGGCCAATCAGGCAATTAGAGATGAAATTAAAAAATATATGGACACAAATGAAAATGAAAACACAACAATTCAAAATCTATGGGATGCGACAAAGGCCGTCCTAAGAGGAAGGTACATTGCTCTCCAGGCCTATTTCAAGAGATTAGAAAAAGCTCAAGTCCAAAATCTAACAGCTCACCTAAAGGAACTAGAGGCAGAGCAACAAGAACGCCCTAAGCCCANTTTCAGAGTCTGTATCCCCCTCTCTCTCTGACCCTCCCCTGCTCACGCTGTCTCTCTCTCTCTCTCTCTCTCTCTCTCTCCTAGAAATAAAATAAATAAATAAATAAATAGGTCTGCACATGTGGCATGTGGTATTCCAGTGGGCACACCCTATTCCTCCACCAAAGGAAAGAGGCAACCAATCATGTTTGCTTATTATATACATCTATATTGCCACAATTTCTAAAACCACTCATATTGCCTGACATACACCTATACTTTATAGTCTTCTCTATGAGGATTTCCCCACCTATTCTAACCCTCACTGCCTCTTCTCTGAACTCTTAGAATATCAGATGTCTTTCAAGGACGATTTACTTTTAAAATCTTGAAAAACTGGGGTCCCTGGGTGGCTCAGTTGGTTAAACATCTGACTTTGGCTCAGGTCATGATCTCATGGTTCATGGGATTGAGCCCCGCATTGGGCTCTGTGCTGACTGTGGAACCTGCTTGGGATTCTCTCTCTCCGCCCCTCCCCCGCTTGCGCGTGCTCTTGCTCTTGTGCGCTCTCTCCCTCAAAATAACAAACAAACAAACAAACAGATATTAAAAATAAATGAAGAAAATCCTGAAGAATGGTTTCATTTGGGCAAGGCTGTCTCAACGAGGTTAGGAACACTCAGACATTTTTGTCACCCACAGGGTTTGTGCTCAAAATGTGAATGCTGAAAATCGGTACAAAATCAGTTTAGGACTTTGGATACCTCACTCAGTAGCCCGTGGAATGACTGTACTGGAGGAATACCAGATTCCAGAGGAAGTGAAGAATTTCAGAATTAGAAGGTTCGTCTGATCCAATCACCTATTTTCCCAGTGCTAAATTCCTTGCCACAATGTCCCTGCCATGTATTTACCCAAAGTAGGTTAGAACACCTCCAGCGATTGGAAACTTGGCTGGATCTCTAAACAGTGCTTTCATCTTTGGAATATTCTGGCTTACAGAAATATATCTTTCTCTGACCTCATCCCTCCTCTGCATAAAAACCCTTTATATATTTGAAAACAGCATTAAGACTTCAAGGGGCTGCCTTGGGTTCATGCCATGCCTCTCTACTTCCTCCAACCACATCTCACATGGACTTTCCTTTCTTTTCTTTTTTGTAAGTCCCTTCACCTTTCTCTTTACTTTTCTCTGAATGTGCCCTGATTTAGCTTCCTCAAGCCATGGAGCCCCAGACTGAATGCCCAGTGTAACAAGTCTGATTAGCAGAGCTTAGAGCTAGACTATGCCTCTCTTGTTCTCGACACTGCATATCTGTTCTTGCA